TTGTTTTGTTTTGTTTTGTTTTGTTTTGTTTTGAAAGAGAGCTACAGAATTGCAAGCAGGCTCCATGCTCAGCGGGGAACCCAATGCAGGGCTTCATCCCATGACTGAGATCATGATCTGAGCCATAATCAAGAATTGGATGCTTATGTCCTCAGTTGGCTGCATAGCAGGATTAAACCAGCAATATCTCTGATAAAAAAAAAAAAAAAAAAAGAATTGGATCCTTAACTGACTGAGGCACCTGGGTACCCTACATGTACTGATTTTTAAACTTAGCATTTTATAAGAACTTTTCAGTATTATTTGTTGTAATAAATGTGTTAATGATCACATGTTCACTAGAGTATATATTAGCCTTGGAGGGCTTAGCTATTTTCCTATAGGACAAGTCTAGTTTTATCTGGCCTTTAAAAATGATTTCTCTTTCTCACCTCATTCCACTCCCCAAATATCTAAGAGAGGCAGATGGTTGCTGGCATCAGGGAATACTCCCTGCTCAAAATTCCTGGTTTCCTGACTCTGCTCTGCTGTTTTACTTTTTAAGTGTATTACATAAAGACATCCTAAGACAATTCCCTTTCCATCTTTCTATTTTACCACATGTTTAGAAAAGAGAATGCTGAAAGTTTCTACATAATAATTGATACTTGTTTGCATCTAGTCTTGCCTCATTATCTTTTTTCACCTAATCATCTAGAAAAATGATTGTATAATATTTGTATCCCTTGAGCTTGACTTATTTGTCAGTAATTGAGTTAATCTAAATATTCCATTTATATGACCATTTATACCATTAAATATTTAATTACAGCTTGACTGAGGCTGGTGAGTATTAGGGTGCCTGAGTGGCTCAGTTGGTTGAGCATCTGACTTCAGCTCAGGTCATGGTTTCCCAGTTCCTGGATTTGAGCCCTGTGTCAGGCTCTCCACTGTTAGCTTCAGAGCCTCTGTCTCCCTTTCTTTCTCTCTCTGCCCCTCCTTCACTTGCATGTTCACTCTCTCTCTTTCTCAAAAATAAAGAGTGGTTAATATTTTTAAGGCAGTTTTAAAATTCTTTTTATTATTTGGATCCTGGAAAACTTGAGTTCACAATATAGTTTGGTCATCTAAGTAGGATAAACAATGATTGGGGGCGCCTGGGTGGCTCAGTTGGTTAAGCGGCCAGCCGACTTCAGCTCAGGTCATGATCTCGCAGTCCGTGGGTTCAAGCCCCGCATCGGGCTCTGTGCTTGACAGCCAGCTCAGAGCCTGGAGCCTGTTTCAGATTCTGTGACTCCCTCTCTCTCTGCCCCTCCCCACTTTGTGCTCTGTCTCTCTCTATCTCAAAAATAAATACACGTTAAAAAAAATTAACAAACAACGATTGGTTATTCAGGAGTACAACTCACTATTGACCCTGTAAAGTACAAATTACTTTTGAGTGAAAATGTGGTTGGAATAGATTTCAGTGTTCAGTTTGTACCTGCTATTTATTGTGACACTGGGTTCAGGGAGGGCTGGTATCTATGGGAGGTCAGTAACTTCCTCTGGGCTGCCTAAATTGCCTGTATGAGCACCTAGAATAAAAAAAAGCACAGCATGCTGGTAAACCATTTTGAATTATTTGGTAATGTTGGCAGGCTGGAGGGGATTGGTGGCTGCTTTCCTTAGCATTAAAATGGCCTTGCCTTTCGGGTTTCACCTGTAGCAAACTGTGTTATTGCCTCCTGATTTCCAGACTTATTACAAGGATTGACTGTGTTTTTATAGCACTAATTTGCTATAGATGTTTACTTTCACCATGATTTACATTAAGACGAGGGATAGACAAAAAACAACAAACACCACCCTTGGCAATATTAAAACTGATACAAATAGTTTTTGCATTATTGCTGGCTTCCCATTTGCAACAATCAAAAAGAAAACAAGAATCCAAATTCATTTTTCTGTTGTCTTTTAAGTGGCTTGGCTAGAGCGTACTTCCCTATATCCTTATATTCTCTATATTGAAAGTGAAAATGGAAGGAGTCTTCTTGAATATTGGAGGAAGAAAAGCATGTAAAAATAAAGGAAGGATGGGGGAGCTTCTGGCTACCCTGTTAGAAATGTTGGGATAATCAGGGTGACTATGTCCTCCTTACTGAAGAAGAATCAGTTACGGTAGACCTAGGAAAGGCTGAAGTTTAAAAACATGACTTTTTTTTTGACAAGTATATTAGCAGATTAATGCTTTCTGAGTTTTGCAGGAGGGACTACATTTATTCTGATTGTATTGTCTTTGTTTTGTGATACTGGAATTCGTCTTTTGGACTTCTCTTTAAAGAGACATAAATGAAGTACAGTAAGGAGGGGAACTGAGGAGAGGCTCCTGGGTGGCTTAGTCAGTTAAGCATCACTTCGGTTCAGATCATGATCTCACAGCTTGTGAGTTCGAGCCCCACATCAGGCTCTGCTGACAGCTCGGAGCCTGGAGCCTGCTTCAAATTCTGTGTCTCCCTCTCTCTCTGCCCTTCCTCTGCTTGCTCTTTCTCTCTCTCTCTCTGTCTCTCAAAAATAAACATTAGGGGTGCCTGGGTAGCTCAGTCGGTTAAGCGCCTGACTTCAGCTCAGGTCATGATCTCACAGTTCGTGGGTTTGAGCCCCGCGTTGGGCTCTGTGCTGACAGCTCAGAGCCTGGAGCCTGCTGGATTCTGTGTATGTGTGTCTCTGCCCCTCCCCCACACTCATGTGCACGTGTGTGTGTGTTTGCCTTCTCTCTCTCTCTCTCTCTCTCAAAATAAATAAAGAAACTTAAAAGGTTAAAAAAAAAAGGCTCATGTTAAAAATTGTCAGTGAAGGGACGCCTGAGTGGCTTAGTAGGTTAAGTGTCTGACTCGGTTTCGGCTCAGGTCATGATCTCATAGTTCATGAATCGGGCTCTGCTGACAGTGTGGAGCCCGCTTGGGATTCTCTCTCTCTCTCCTCTCTCTCTGCCCTTCCCCAGCTTGCTCTTCCGTCTCTCGCAAAATAAATTTTTAAAAAAAGAAAGAAAAAACTGTCAGTGAAAAGAACCCTCTCTATAAAGGTACCTAAAAATATTTTGAACAGTGATGGCATTATTGAGATAAGTGAAGCATACCAAAACGAGGTCTTTTGGCCTTTGAGCTGGGACTTATGGCGGCAAAGGTGGTAGGTAAAAGTGTTATAAGGTTTTTGCCAAATACGGATAAGATAATCAGGTATCCTCAGTATTCCTACCCAAACATACCACTGGCATACTGAATCTACCTCTGCTCTGGTATGTAACAGTCATTTTTATTTCCTTTAATTTTATTTTTTATGACTCATTTCTGCTCCTTCCCTGACCCACATTCCCCAGCAGACCTCCCCGCAATATCTAACTTTTAAATTCCAGGTTTGATAGTTCTTAGCACATCCTAGGGTAGGGTTGCCTTATTAACCTTTGCCTCTGTCACTTCCATACCAGTTGTCCCATGTGTATGTATGCAAGAAATTTTAGCAAAATTGGACACTGACTAAAGTAAATATACCAGAAGGTGTTGCAACATAAGCAACATGTATTTTTTTTTAAATACAGCTTATGAGATATGATTCATATACTGTAAAACTCACCAGTTTAAGTGTACATAATTCATGGGGTTTTTAGTATAGTCACAAGAGTTGTACAAATATCACCACTCGCTAATTCCAGAATATTTTCATCACTCAAGAAACCCATACCATTAATAGTCCCTTCCTACTGCTCTCCCCAGCTCCTGGCAACTACTAATCTACTTTGTATCTCCATGGATTTGCCTATTCTGGACAATTCACATAAATAAAATTATATAATCTGTGATGATACAATCTGTTGTGTTTGGCTTCTTTCACTTAGCATAATATTTTCAATATTCTTCCATGTTGTAGCTACATATCAGTATTTCATTCCTTTTTATGACCAAATAATATTCTGTTGTGTAAATATACCACATTTTTTAATCCATTCATCAATCTGTTGACATTTGGGTTAATGCTGCTATAAACAAGTGTACAAGTTTTTGTGTGAACATAGGCTTTTAATTCTTTTGGATATGTACCTAGGAGTAGAATTACTGGGTCATAAGATGACTCCATGTTTAATTTTTTTTGAGGAACTGCTAAACTGTTTTCCATGGCTGCACTGTTTTACAGTCCCACCAGCAGCGTATAAGGATTCTAGTTTCTCTACATTCTCACAATCCTTTGTTCTTGTCCACCTTTTGATAATAGCCATCCTAGTGGGTGTGAAGTGGTATCTTACGGTGGTTTTGATTTTCATTTCCCCAAATGACTAGTGATATTGAGTATCTTTTCATGTGTTCTTTGGCCATTTATATGTTTTATTTCTTTTTTTTTTTTTTTTTTAGTTTTATTTAATCTCTATACCCATCAGGGGCCTTGAACTCATGACACCGAGATCAAGAGTTACATGCTCTTCCAACTGAACCAGACAGGCACCCTTGTTTCTTTGGGGAGACATCCTTAAAGCTAAATATTGATGGTCTACTATTTGGAATACTAAATTGTTTAGATTAACTTCTTTTATCTGATGTAAAGGAGTTTTTGCTTCATTAATTCAAATGTTTTAGCCTGTTATTGAAGATTATTTTAGAAAACTAATGTAGATACAGCTTTCACCTATGAAAATACTATATTTTGTATCCTGGCCTGAAATATCTATACAGATTATCTCCAATCTTTAGTGGACCTTGAATTAATTGGGTTATATTTCTGTTGTAAATTTATCTCTCTAGGCCCAAAGAGTTAGAGGTAAAATTCACATGTAGGGACCAGTGGCTCATCAAAATTTTGTTAGATTTTGTACATTCTGAAAACATTACCTGACCTTTTGTTAAGAGAAAGGTCTATAAGGCAAGGAATTTGATGTTTGATATAACACCTGAAGTTAAAAGTACGTGAGGTTAAGCGTACACATGTTTGTGAGTACTTTTAGATAAGCATGAAAAAGTACATGATTTGATCCTTTGTCCCTCTCTCCCCAGCGTGGTACCATGCGACGACGCTATGAAGATGATGGCATTTCAGATGACGAAATTGAAGGGAAAAGAACTTTTGACTTGGAAGAGAAACTTCACACCAACAAATATAATGCAAATTTTGTTACTTTTATGGAGGGAAAAGGTCAGTATCATTTTGGTTCCAGGGACCTGCAGTCCCTTGATGTAGGAAGTTGTAGACCCTGGGAACCCTGGGCTCAGCATCTGTGCAGCTAAAATATTGCCTATTGATGCTGTGATGCTGTTTATCTTTATTTTCTCTTATTACACAATATCATTCCCACATGCACATGCCTGTGCATGCACGCATGCGCGCACACACACACCCTCCCTTCCTCAGTTCTCCCACCTTGGGAGTCATTCTCTGCTACATGAGAAGAAATAAGTGTTTATTAGGGCCAGGTACATTGTTGGAGTTTTTTCCTGAAGGCCCTTTCCTTCTCCTATCCCTTGTTTTAGGTTTAATTAAGAATAGTGCAATAAAAACTGGTTTTTTTTTATGTTTATTTATTTTTGAGAGAGAACATGTGCAGGAGGGACAGAGAGAGGGGAGGAGAGTGAGAGAATCCCAAGCAGTCTCCACGTGCTGTCAGTGCAGAGCCCGATGAGGGTTCAGTCCCAGGAACCATGAGATTATGACCTGAGCTAAAGTCAGATACTCAACTGACTGAGCCACCCAGGCGCCCCAGTAAAAACTCTTCTACGCATGTACTTCTCCCCGTAACCACAACAGAGGTGGGATTCCATGTGTACCATGCAGCTTTGCTCCTTGGCGACTTGATCAGGATGTTATGGTATATATTCTAGTGGACAGTATCAAATTTTTTGGCTGTTAAGAGACAGAGTGATGACAATTTCTGCTTAGGATTTGTGAGATGACTCATTAATATGGTACTACCCTCTGTTGGTTAAATTCTGAATTTTCTGTGGAATACAGGCTTAGAAAACCCCTGGAACCCTGCCTCTCAGTGTGCATTTCCTATATCCAGAGGGATACTTCTTTTTTTTTTTTTTTAATATTTATTTGAGAGAGGGAGAGAGAGAATCCAAAGCAGGCTCCAGGCTCTGAGCTGTCAGCACAGCTGTCAGCCACCCAGGCGCCCCAGTGAGGGATGCTTCTTAATAGCAAGCATGTATATTGTCTTACAGAGCAAAACTGTTTACACAGAAACAGCAAACACGGTCTCTACCTTAATACTTAGGATCTTTTTTATGGTCCTTTTATCTTTTTCCAGCTATACCTCTTGCCTTTCTAACAGTTGTTTTCTTATGGTGACAGATTTTAATGTAGAGTATATTCAGCGGGGTGGCTTAAGAGACCCTCTGATTTTCAAGAATTCGGATGGACTTGGAATAAAGTAAGTATTCTCGGCCTGATTGGACGTAGTTGCAAAATGGCCATGTTACACCCGGGCTGTAGACAGTGCAGTGTTGATAACCCAAAGCAGTAGATAATTAAAAATAATCCCCCATTTAGTTTTAAAAGCATGTATTTTTCTTCTTTTGTTACAAAAACAACTTATGGTTGTTAATACTTAAAAAATATAGGTGAGCTAAAAAGAAAATAAAGTTAAGTCTCCTAAAAATCTATTATCCTGGGATAATAATCACTTGCTAACATATTGTTATATATTCTTTTTTATTTTATATATATGATCATTTATGTTTAAATTATATCATTAAACCTAAATACGAATATTTATGTGTCTCAGCTTAGGAGTTTTTAGTACTAGTTAGTAAAAAACTCACACTGATTAGAGAAGATGTGCTTCCATTTATACTTACAAGTGTTTGTTTCTTAGGATGCCAGATCCAGACTTCACTGTGAATGATGTCAAAATGTGTGTGGGTAAGTAGTAATACATGTGGCCTTTGTGCCTTCGAAGCAAAGATTTAAGATTGGGACTGATTTCTGAATTTCTTACTGAGATTTAAGGCTTAGGAATGTTGAAGTACATATTTGATTGAAGTATATATACATCTTGATAGAAACTACTATTTATTTGGCCACTGAGAGTTTTCTCAAAAAGAGTTACAAAAGTTGCTTCATTTATTTCATTTATTTTTTTTATGTTTTTATTTCTGAGAGAGAGACAGAGCGTGAGCAGGGGAGGGTCAGAGAGAGAGGGAGATACAGAATGTGAAGCAGGCTCCAGGCTCTGAGCTAACTGTCAGCACAGAGCCTGATGCGGGGTTCAAACCCAGGAACCGTGAGATCGTGACCTAAGCCGAAGTCAGACGCTTAACCCACTGAGCCACCAGGCACCCCAGTTGCTTCATTTAGTACGCATCAGGAATAGAACTTTCAAACTTCTACTTCTTCCCTACCTACCATTTTATCACTGTGTGCCCCTCCTTCTCTCTGTGAAAAGCCTATTCCAGGGCATCTAACCTAGGAAAGTGACATTTTATATCTCTGAGACAAGTAGGAAGATTCATTCATATCTGTGATTCTCTTCTGTTCTCCAAAAGCGGTAGAGGAATTTATCCAGGAAATTTTCACCAATGCTACATATGGTAACTTGGCCAAAGTTTAAAACTTTGTAGACTGAAGCATGCAACTCTTGATCTCAGGATTATAGATTCGAGCCTCACTTTGGGAGTAGAGATTACTTAAGTAAATATGTATATTTAAATAAATATAGAGGCGCCTGGGTGGCTCAGTTGGTTGAGCATCTGACTTCGGCTCAGGTCATGATCTCACAGTTCGTGGGTTCGAGCCCCGCGTCGGGCTCTGGATGACAGCTATCTCAGAGCCTGGAGCCTGTTTCAGATTCTGTGTCTTCCTCTCTCTCTGACCCTCCCCTGCTCACACTATCTCTATCTTTCAGAAATTAAAAAAACATTTTTTAATAAAAAAATAAGTAAATATAAATACATATATCTCTATAATAAATGAAAAACAAAAATATTGTAAACCAAGAAAGAGGTACATTAACATTTCTATCAGTGACTGGTTTTTAGTCTGATTTATATTCTATTCAAAATTTAGGAAAAGAAAACACATTAGATTAACCAAATTAAAGAAGAAATCTTCCTGGTGTCAGTAAAGGCTCAGGTCAAATTTCTGCAGACTATTTGGTATTCAGTGTAGCCCTGAGACTCACCAGAATCCTTAGGAATTCAGATATGAGTACCCTCCCATACACATTAAAGCAGTAAAGTGGATTAAAACCTTTTGGACATGTTTCCAACAGAACGTGAAGCAAAAGGAGTTTTTTCTGATACTTTCCTTCTGTTAAGTTTTGTCCTCTACATTGAAGTTCCCGTGCAGTGTCTTGCTTTGGAAACTAACATGCAGTACTATCTGTTAGCCACTGGAGGGCCCTTTTTAGACAGCTGGATAACTCTTCTGTTTATCCAAGAGGTAGAAGTCACCGATAGCCCAGGTGGAGGAAAGTTCTAGAATTCCCTGTATTTTTCACTTCTTCACTATTTCTGTGTTAGATTCCAGCAATCTGCCTGTCACTTGGTATTACCTAGTATTTAGTGCAATCTCTGGAGTATAGTAGGCACTCAGTAATCTGTTGAGTGATTAAAATGCTTTCCCACTCTTCACAAAATAGGGTTCTCTCAGAGGACCTCAGAAAATCTTCTTGAGTACTTATAGGTCTGTCACTGGATTTTTTTCCTATATAGACCTCCAGGACAGTAATAAGTTTTTTTTGTTTTTTTTTTGTTTTATTTTACTTTAATTTACATCGAAGTTAGTTAGCATATAGTGCAATAATGATTTCAGGAGTAGATTCCTTAATGCCCTTTACCCATTTAGCCCATCCCCCCTTCCCACAACCCCTACAGCAACCTTCTGTTTGTTCTCTATATTTAGAGTCTCTTATGTTTTGTTCTCCTCCCTGTTTTTATATTACTTTTGCTTCCCTTCCCTTATGTTCATCCTTTTTGTATCTTAAATTCCACATATGAGTGAAGCCATATATTTGTCTTTCTCTGACTAATTTCACTTAGCATAATACACACCAGTTCCATCCACATTGTTGCAAATGACAAAACTTCATTCTTTTTGATTGCCAAGTAATACTCCATTGTATATATATCCCATATCTTCTTTATCCATTCATCAGTTGATGGGACATTTGTGTTCTTTCCATACTTTGGCTGTTGTCGATAACGCTACTATAAACATTGGGGGTGCATGTGCCCCTTCGAAACAGCACACCTGTATCCTTCGGATAAATACCTGTAGTGTGGTTGCTGGGTGGTAGGGTAGTTTCTATTTTTATTTTTTTGAGGAACCTCCATGCTGTTTTCCAGAGTGGCTGTACCAGTTTACATTCCCACCAGCAATGCAGAAGGGTTCCTCTTTGTCCACATCCTCACCAGCATCTTTGATATACATTCTTAGAGGAAAACATCCCCTTTTTTAAAAATTTCTTTTTAAATGTTTTTATTTATTTTTGAGAGAGAGACAGAAAATGAGTGGAGGACGGGCAGAGAGAGAGGGAGACATAGGATCCAAAGCAGGCTCCAGGCTCCAACCTGTCGGCACAGAGCCTGATTCAGGGCTCCAACTCCCAAATCTGAGCTGAGCTGAAGTTGGACGCTTAGCCAACTGAGCCACCCAGGTGCCCCCTTTTTTTTAAACAATTGTGGCAAAATACAAATAACATAAAATTTACCATTATAATAATTTTTAAAGTATATAATCAGTGGCATTAAGTATATTCACAGTGTGCAACCATCACCAATATGTAGTTCCAGAACTTTTCATCACCTATATCTTTAGATACATACCTAGGAGTGGAAATTGTTGGGTCAAATTTTCATTCTATTTTTAATTTACTGAGGAACCACCAGACTGTTTTCCATAGCAGCTGCACCAGTTTACAGTATTCCCAACAAAGTTTTGAGGGTTCCAGTTTTTCTGCATCCTTGCCAGGACTCGTTATTTTCCTTTTTTTTTTTTTCTTTTTTTTAAATTTATAGCCATCGTAGTGGGTGTAAAATGGTATTTATTACAAAGGAGTTTTGATTTAGCATTAGCATTTTCTTCCAAAATATGAAAAGTAGGTTTGTTTTGTTGCCTTACTTATCAGTTATATCTTCTGTGTATTCTGGCATGTCTCCTTTATTGTGGCTGTATTTTAGTCCTCCTGACTATTCTCTCATAGCTCTGACTAGACTGTAAACCTCTTAAAGGCTGGGACCAGGTCTTAATTCTAGCTGTTATATTCACGAAGGCCAGGTATGTAGTAGATGTGTGTTAGTTTCTTACAAATTGAATAATAATCTTAATATTCCACCAGCACCTTTTTATTCTCTTTTCCTTTCTTGGCCACTAATATTTTCACTTTTTTAGCTGTCTTACCTCTCCATATCGTCTCTTAGGCTGCTGCTTTAACCTAGAATTCTCTGTTGAACCTTTCTTGTTGTAATTCTATTTATTCTTCAAGGCCCAACTCAACTGTCTCTTCTTCATCTTCTTTTCCTAAAAAGTTTCTCTGGTCAGTCCAATGTTTAAAAAAAAAAAAAAGGAATTTCCCTTTTATTTTTACTCCTGTTTAGTTGACACCTACTTTGTGTTAAATGTTTTCCTTCACAGTGGCCTCCAAGGTGATATTATTCCCAAATTAAAGAAGATATTAAGGTTCAGAGAAGTTAAATAACTTTCCCAACTATTATTAGAGCTGAAATTTAAACTTGGCTTAAAGGCTATTGTTCCCCACCCCCCACTAATTTACGCATTCTCCCTTTTGTTGTAGTTGTTACAGTTGGTTGAGAAGCTGATACAGGTCTCTGTGTCCCTCATGGTAGCTTTATCATTCAGTAAATATTTGTGAAATGAATGAAAAAGGAGGTTTATATTAGAAATGTAACATGTCTGGGAAATAACCCTTTTAAACAGAAGAATGGACAGATTCAGAATGAATCTAGCACTCTGTCACTGTACAGGGGATCCTTTATTCAAAGTACAGGATAGATATAGGTCCTTAACGCTGCATCACAGCAGTGTAGCTCAGTGGGTATGAGTGTTGGCTCTAGAGTTGGTCTAGAGTTCTGGGATTCTTGTCCTGCTTTGTCCTGCAAGTTTCCTAACAGCTATTTTCTCACCTATGAAATGGACATCAGTATTTAGTATTTAGAATTGTTAGGGTTGAGTAAGATACTGAATATAAAATTTGTTGCCTGATCATACAGAAATATTCCATATGGAATCATTTCTTTATATAAACCTGTTGTTTTTCCCATTCCCTGTGGTTTGATTTGATTTATCCACCTTGAATGACAGCTCTGTCCTTGCTTATTACTGAAAACCCTGAATAAAGAAAGGATAGTTTGTTTCCTTCCATTTGTATTTTATATTCTTTTTTTTTATTATTTTTTTTTATGTTTTATTTATTTCTGTGAGATAGAGACAGCATGAGCAGGGGAGGGTCAGAGAGACAGGAAGACACAGAACCTGAAACAGGCTCCAGGCTCTGAGCTAGCTGTCAGCACAGAGCCCGACGTGGGGCTTGAACCCACGAATTGAGATCATGACCTGAGCCAAAGTTGGACACTTAACTGACTGAGCCACCCAGGTGCCCCTGTATATTATATTCTTTTTTTTTAATTTTTTTTTTTAACGTTTTATTTATTTCTAGGAGAGAGAGACAGCGTGAGCAAGGGAGGGTCAGAGAGAGAGGGAGTCACAGACTGAAACAGGCTCCAGGCTCTGAACTGGCAGTCAGCACAGAGCCTGACGCGGGGCTCGAACCCACAAACCGCGAGATCATGACCTAAGCGAAAGTCGGATGCTTAACCGACTAAGCCACCCAGGCGCCCTATATATTCTTAATATATTTGAGGATAATAGTGGCTCAGAGGAGATGATTGATACATCTTTCGTGGCAGGGAGTCGTCGCATGGTGGACGTCATGGATGTGAACACACAGAAAGGCATTGAAATGACCATGGCTCAGTGGACACGCTACTATGAGACCCCAGAGGAGGAGCGAGAAAAACTCTATAATGTCATCAGCCTGGAGTTCAGCCACACCAGGCTGGAGAATATGGTGCAGAGGCCCTCCACGGTTAGTCTAATCATTTTTTCCACATTGTCATTATCACCAAGAGGGTTGTTTATATAATGGGAGAATTTATAACCTTTTTTTTTTTTAATGTTTATTATGAGTGGGGGGGTGGGCAGAGAGAGAGAGACACGGATAGGATCCCAAGCAGGTGCCTTGCTGTGAGCCCAGAGCTTGACTCAGGGCTTGATAACCACGAACCATGAGATCATGATCTGAGTTGAAATCAAGAGTCGGACACTTAACCAACTAAGCCACCCAGACACCCCCTAATCATTCTTTTAAAATCAGTATCTTAGAGGGCCTGGGTGGCTGTCAGTTAAGCTTCTTACTCTCGATTTCAGCTCAGGTCATGATCTCACTGTTTGTGAGATTGAGCCCCACATCAGGCTACACACTGACAGCACAGAGCCTGCTTAGGATTCTCTCCCTCTCTCTGCCCCTCTCCTGCTCTCTCCCCCACGCCACAAAATAAAAAATAAACATTTAGAAAATAGAGATCTCAGTGTTTTATTCTGTCTCCACTTAATTATCCTAATTACATCCTTTGACTTTCAAGGTTAAATTGTGATAATTGCATCTAATATTGTTATTTTATGTATACACCTACATTCAGCTTACTAGTAAGTTGCATTGTTATTGTCACTAAGACATTGATATGTACAGGCCAACAGGAAAATGTTCTCAGTACTTTACTATTATTACCTGAAGAGACAATGTTATTTTTTGTCATTGCTTCTTGTTACTAGAGATTTGCTAAAACTAAGTACAGAATTTCTTATTAAGAAAACTTTATCTCCTTAGAATGATAAAAATCCTTTTATATTAATTATCATTTGTTTGGCCATGTGGAAATATAGGAAGACAGTTGGCTAGAATTTAGCCTTGTGATTAGCCAGACATGGTCCACTTAATAAATAAAAAATAAAGGGTGCCTGACTGGCTCAGTTGGTAGAATATGCAGCTCTTAATCTCAGGGTCATGAGTTCAAGCCCCACATTGAGCATATAGAGCTTACTTTAAAGAATTTTTTTTAAATTAAAGCACAATTCAGTCCTTTAAATAAAGAATAAGAGAGCTATTTAAGAATCACAGTAACGTTATAAATTGTTTATAATATTGCTTATAAATTAACATTGTTAATATTTTTAGAATTTCAATTTAAAAATAAAGTGATTATAGCTCTAAAAGTCAAACTTACACTTTTCTTAAAATCTAGAAATGTCATTCACACATGAAGCCTTTTTTGTAACATTCTTAATTTATTCATTTTTGTTCCTAGTTTTAATTATAAACATGCATCATTTTATGACAAAAATAATAGATCACTAAATGGAAGAATAGAACTATGGAAGGGCTCAGAAAATCTTCCGGGGGACAGAGAATAATGCACCAGTATTTTTTAGGGACCTAAACCATGGCTGATTGAATTGAGCTATCACCAAGGTCACCTCCTGAAAGCAGGAAAACTTTTGATGACCTTGCTATGTAAACAGTAATATGCTTATTCTGCTGGGGTATTATTTATTTATTTACTGGAGTATTTTTCCCCACAGTGTATCCCTTCATTTATTTAGGTCTTTTCTAACATCTCAATAATGCTTTTTAATTTTTTTAATTTATTATTATTATTTATTTATATATTTTTTAAATGTTTGTTTATTTTTGAGAGACAGAGTGGGAGCAGGGGAAGGGTAGAGAGAGAGGAGACAGAATCCAAAGACTCCAGGCTCTGAACTGTTATGTCAGCACAGAGCCTGACATGAGGATCAAACCCATGAACCATGAAATCATAACCTGAGCCAAAGTTTGATGCTTGACCAACTGAGTGACCCAGATGCCCCAATAACCCTTTTTTTTTATTTATTTATTTATTTATTTTTAATTTTTTTTTTAATGTTTTATTTATTTCTAGGAGAGAGAGAGAGACAGCGTGAGCAGGGGAGGGTCAGAGAGAGAGGGAGATATAGACTCTGAAACAGGCTCCAGGCTCTGAGCTGGCAGTCAGCACAGAGCCCGACGCGGGGCTCGAACCCACGAACCGCGAGATCATGACCTAAGCGAAAGTCGGACGCTTAACCGACTAAGCCACCCAGGCGCCCCCCAATAACCCTTTTTAAAAAAATTTTTTTTAATGTTTTTATTTATTTCTGAGAGAGACACACACAGCATGAACAGGCGAGGGTCAGAGACAGAGGGAGATACAGAATCCGAAGCAGTCTCCAGGCTCTGAGCTAGCTGTCAGCACAGAGCCCGATGCAGGGTTCGAACCCACGAACCATGAGATCATGACCTGAGCCGAAGTCGGATGCTTAACTGACTGAGCCACCCAGGCGACCCTAATAATGCTTTTTTAAAAACCAACTTTATTGAGGTACAGTTGACATAAAGTATATTCATTTTAAGTGTGCATTTCAATGAGTTTAAACAAATACACTTATTCATATAATAATCTTACACCTAAACCACATACTCTTGTTCTCTATGACATTCACACCTTCACAGTTAGCTTATTATTGGTTCAAGTACCTGTCACATGCTGAGTACTATGCTAGGTGCTGGAGGACATGTGGAAGATAAGGTCATTCTCATTCTCACAGGGAAGAAAGACCAGAGGATAGACATTTATAAGCCACACTGATGGTAAGTGCCTCATAAGTCAATAAATACAGAGTGTTGTGGGGGCAGGAAGAAGGATCCCGCTAACCTAAGCTGGATGAGAATTAGGGGACGCTCTTTAGGGGAATTGATACCTAAACTTGACATGAAGGAAATAAGGCAAAGAAAACAAAAACTAGAATTCCAGGCAGAAGACATAGAATGTGTAAAAGTAGGTGCGGTGGAAGGGGAAGGTGAGCAACCTTTAAGTGCCTCTTGGGGTGTTAGCATAAAGTGGGGTTTTCTGATGAGAAGAGAGAGATTGTTTTCTGCTGTCATTCCAGCAGTACCTGAGAGGTAGATGAAAAGTAACATGTACAATGTGCAGATTTGTTTGGTGATGGGAAAATTAGTTCATGTAAGGCCATGAGCCTTTTTTGTGCAGCATGTGAATAGATTAGGTCCTAGATAATGGACTTCTTACCAGTGTGGCCATAGTATTGATGCAGAACAGGTAGAAATTGATGATTACCCCTCCTGAAGACTTGCTGTCACATGGATCAGGCCATTTAGTAAAAGGCCTACCCAGAGCCTAAAGATTAACCGAAGGAAAAACGTATGAATTCTGTACCACAAGATGATACCTAATAATACCAAAAAATGGGAGGTTAGAATGAGTGACTTAATGCTGCAGGTGAGAAATTCTGGCCAAAGAAAATCAGTTTTCTCTGAACTAATAATTGAGAAATAATACCCATGTGTTCTTAACCCTTCTTTTCCCCATCCAGACATAAGAGCTTATAATGTCTTGAGCAAGTACAGTTACTCATTATTCTGTTCAAGTATTTCCAAAGGAGAGTACCAGGAGATGGAAAATGCTGACCGCTACATTAAGAGAACAGAAAGTAGATTTTGTTTGAGGGAAAGAAAGGAAGTTGGAGTTCATTCAGTGTTCTAAACCCAGTGGTTGCTTGGTTAAACTATTGGCTCCCTGAGCAGAAATCTTTGAAGTGCAGCAGCAAGTTAATTTCATAGTTGCTCTTCAGCCTGCATGTCATTGGTGATCCCTTCCAGCCTTGTTCCCACAGTTTACATCTGGGTGTCCCCTAGACACCTGCCTCATATCATTATGCACAGATTGTATGCATTTGTCCAGATCTATATTGTAAGGAAAATAAATTATTAAATATAGATATTGTTGTAGACCTTACAGTTTACATGTGTTTTATAGCCTTAAGTTAGGTTATTTACAATGTGAATACTGTACTGGATTCATATTTTGGCCCACATTTTATCTGCCTGAGACTGTTCCTTGGAGGTTGATGATTGGGTAGTGCACACATTTGAAGGTACAGGACATTATAGTTCCGTGTAAAGTGCAGATAGTTCATGTATGCTGAAAACTATAGAAAACTTATAAATGAAACAGAACAAGACACAAAGAAATGGAAAAACATTCCATGTTCATGGATAGGAAGAAGAAATATTGTTAAAATGTCAATACTACCCAAAGCAATCTACACATTCAGTGCAATCCCAATTAGAATTGCACCAGCATTCTTCTCAGAGCTAGAACATTCCTAAAATTTGTGTGGAACCACAAAAGACCCTGAATAGCGAAAGTTATGTTGAAAAAGAAAACCAAAGCAGGAGGCATCACAATCCTGGACTTTAGCCTCTACTACAAGGCTGTAATCATCAGGACGGTGTGTGTGGTACTGGCACAAGAACAGACACATAGACCAATGGAATAGAATAGAGAACCCGGAATTGGACCTGCAAATGTATGGCCAACTGATCTTTGATAAAGTAAGAAAGAACATCCAGTGGAAAAAAGACAGTCTCTTTAGCAAATGGTGCTGGGAGAATTGGACAGCAGCATGCGGAAGAATGAAACAGAACCAGCTTCTTATACCATACACTAAAATAAACTCAAAATGGATGAAAGACCTAAATGTGAGACAGGAAACCATCAAAACACTAGAGGAGAAAACAGGCAACAACATCTTTGACCTCAGCTGCAGCAAATTCTTACTAAGCAAGACTAAGAAGGCAAAGGAAATAAAAGCAAAAATGAACTATTGGGACCTTATCAAGATAAAAAGCTTCTGCACTGCAAAGGAAGCAATCAACAAAATGCAGCCAACAGAATGGGAGAAGATATTTACAAATGACATATCAGATAAAGGGTTAGTACCCAAAATCTATAAAGAACAAACTCAACACCTGAAAAACAATCCCGTGAAAAAATGGGCAGAAGACATGAATAGACACTCTTCCAAAGAAGACATCCAGATGGTCAACAGATACATGAAAAGATGTTTAACACTCATAATCAGGGAAATACAAATCAAAACCGCATTGAGATACCACCTCACACCGGTCAGAGTGGCTAAAATTAACAACTCAGGAAACAACATGTTGGCAAGGATGTGAAGAAATGGGAACTCTCTGGCACTGTTGGTGGGAATGCAAACTGGTACAGCTGCTCTGGAAAACAGTGTGGAGGTTCCTCAAAAAATTAAAAATAGAACTACCCTATGACCCAGCAATAGCACTACTAGGAATTTATCCAAAGGATACAGGAATCCAGATTAATAGAGGCACATGTACCCCAATGTTTATAGCAGCACTTTCAACAATAGCCAAATTATGGAAAGAGCCCAAATGTCCCTCGACTGATGAATGGATAAAGAAGATGTGGTTTATATATACAGTGGAATACTATTTGGCAATGAGAAAGAATGAAATCTTGCAATTTGCAACAACATGAATGGAAATGGAGGGTATTATGCTAAGTGAAATAAGCCAGTCAGAGAAAGACAGATACCATATGTTTTCACTCATGTGGAACTTGAGAAACTTAACAGAAGACCATGGGGAAAGGGAAGGAAGAAAAATAGTTTCAAACAGAGAGGGAGGCAAACCATAAAAGACTCTTAAGCACAGAGAACAAACTGAAGCTTGATGGGGGGTTGGAGGGAGGAATGAGTGATGGGTATTTAAGGAGGGCATTTGTTGATATGAGCACTTGGTGTTGTATGTAAGTGATGAATCATGGGAATCTACCCCCAAAACCAAGAGCACACTATGTATGCTATGTGTTAGCTAACTTGATGATAGGTTATATATATTTTTTAAATGCAGAATTGTGCATTTAGCCACATATGTTTTTAATGACCAAGTATTATGTTTATAAAGTTAGTGATGATAAAAGTCAAGTGATTAAAGATGGAAAATAGAGGTGTAATGGAAATGAAATAAAAAATAGATTACTAAATTCTGCTAATGTTATTTCAAGAAGTTTTAACATGTATTTACATGTAATTCTCACACTGTCCGTTGGAGTTAATTATCCTCATTTTAGAAATGAGTTCCAGGGACTTAAGTGATCTTGAGAAAACATGACAGAACTGGAACTTGTGATTCCTAATGTGGTAGATTCTACAGCACATTGTTCATGTAGGGCTATTTCCTTTTTCTTCTTTCTCCTTTTTAACTGTGGATGTCTTAGCTGCTCTAACAGTTAACAGTGTTACATATCTGGTAAGATCTGTTAAGTTTATAGGCACCTTCCAGACAGCACCTTTGATTGAATCAGAAAAATACAGTTGATTATACCAGTATTGACACAAAGGGGATACTGTGTTACTTAATGACTTCGTTTTGATTAGTGCTATCTTTATGATCATGTTGATGGAACCATTAGTCTTCATTCTCATTGAAAAACGATTTCTAGAAGGTTTGCATGTTGACCCTAAGATTCACCAACAGATTGTTTTTGTTTGTTTATAATTAAATTGTAGTCTTTGAGTGTGTGTTTTGAGAAATTCTATTTTTGTTCTCTTTAATCCCAATCCTTCCACTGAAGCCTAAACGTTTCTTCCTCCTTTTTAAAGGTGGATTTCATTGACTGGGTAGACAACATGTGGCCGAGGCATTTGAAGGAAAGTCAGACTGAATCAACAAATGCCATCTTGGAGATGCAGTACCCCAAAGTGCAGAAGTAAGTGGCTTTCTCTGCATTTCCTCAGGTGCATCACTAGGAAACCAGAGTGATCACAAGGAATGGTTCCTCCCTTCGGAGCCTTGCTTTGTGTCCTAAATGATCAAGAAGATGAATTCTTTAATCAGATTTTACAGTTCCAGAGGAAAGAGTGTATATAATAGTATCTTAACCCACAGTTACATAGTTTAAAGAAAATGTGTTGTTCTGGTAACATGATGACACAGTTGTACTCCTCTCACTGACTGGGAATTGATGAGGCGGAAGGTGGGGTGCACAAGGGGAGAGTGGCATTGTGGGTGGGGCATGCTCTCTTTTTCTCATCAGTACACTAACGGCTGCTGCTTTTTTTGGGTCAGGTACTGTCTAATGAGTGTTCGAGGCTGCTATACTGACTTCCATGTGGACTTTGGTGGTACCTCTGTTTGGTATCACATCCATCAAGGGGGAAAGGTACGGTCATACTTGTGATGGGGGTTGGAATCTGAAGCTGGTTATGACTCTTCTTCAGTTCATGCATGCCTAATATACCTGTAAACGAATGTTAGGAAATTGTCCCCTATTCTAGAGAGAATCATAGATTAAGTTGACCCTTTTGGCTCGACTTCAGTAGGAATTCATATTCTTCTAGTCTGCTGTCATTACACCAATATTGGCATACTATTTAGTAAACCTCAGCAGTCCCAGTTTTAGATTCCCAAGGCAGAATTCTCCCCAAGAAGGCAAGAAAGTGGTTTTAGGAAGACAAGATAATTTCTCTACATGGAAGTGTAATAAAGTAGTAGACAGCAATACAAATTTTGTATAGATTCAGGGTGAAATCAGCATATTAGAATCCAAACCACCTTTCCCTATATGAAGGCATTGATCTGAAATGTGGCCAGAGGAAGCCTTTAAGTCCTCCCTAAGGATGTGAATAGATTTTGAAAGATTGTTCTCATTCATAAAGAACTGTATTCCAGCTTGTCAGATTGTTTCTGAATGCTGTGGGAGAATGGGAATCCAGGATGAGTGTCAGGTTTATAGTATTATAGGTTACCCTTTTTCCCCTTGCTAGAAGTAGATGTGTTTGTGAGAGAAAAGTAGAACTGAATGAAAACACATAATACTTTTAAAATGTGAGGTCCTAATTTAGAACAACTGTACCTCCAAATCCAAAGTCTTTTTGTTTACTTTGGATCCATTTCAGTGGTATCTCAAGTTTTGTCCCTTTGGTCTTGGTTTCTACCCTGGAACAAACTAACGTAGGCCTGTCTCTGGAAGACATTGTACTCACTGTATTTCTTAAGACTGGAGAGGTCAGACAGTCAGGTGCAAGGAAGGGACTTCCTAGGCAACAAGCTGAATGTTCCTCTTCTCCCTGAGTCCTGGATAGGTTCTGGGTTCTAGAGTCAAACCCCAGGGAAGCCCTAATGCCATTTCACCAAGTGCAGGACAGAAAAGATCTGCTTCCTTGGGGCCTCTAGAATTTCCCAAATGGTCAGATTCTGTAGGCTGGGAGGATTGCTTGCTGCTCTTCTGCCTGTTGGACTTAACTTTGTACCTGTTTATCAGTTGAGGGAGACGACTGGGTCATGTCAATGGCTGTTAACAGACTGAAGTTTTTTAACTCACAGGTCTTCTGGCTCATCCCCCCTACAGCCCACAACCTGGAGCTGTACGAGAATTGGCTGCTGTCAGGGAAACAGGGAGACATCTTTCTGGGTGACCGGGTATCAGATTGTCAGCGCATTGAGCTCAAGCAGGGCTATACCTTCGTCATTCCCTCAGGTAAGCAAGATGGGGAAAGAATTGGTTGTTTACTCTTGCCACTTTCTTTTCTTTAAGAAAAAAGAATTAATGGATTACCACCAAGCGTGGTTGTGATGCTGGGGTGGACAGAAAACAATAGTGTCCTTTCCTGTCTTTATGGATTAGATGCTAATAATTTGGATTTTTGAAAAAGGCACCAATTTGCCACTAAAATCAGAATTGCCAATGGTGGTTTCTTAGAGAAGGTCTACATGTGGGCCCCACATTAGCTCTGGGTAATCAGAGTCTCTAAAGGATAAGACCTGGTCGGCAGACAGTATCTACATCTGGGGAAAAGGGACCTACTTCCTAAGGGGTGGCTGTGAAGTCTGGAGTGTAGTGTCAGTGACATTTCTTAGGAGGTCACTAGTTACAAAGTAAGTATTGGGAGCATAGATTTTGGAGTCAGAGACCTGTATTAGAATTCTGACACCTGCTTACCTGCTAATACGATGTTGGTCAAATATTTAAACCTCTGTCACATTTTGTTGTGAGGGGTAAATGGAAATACATGTCAATTCTCGTACTGCACTTTCCCTGTAGGTGCTCCTCTGAATAGAAGCAGCATTTGTTAAGCTTACTATATGCTAAACACTTTATGTGCATTTTCTGATTTAATACTTACTAACAACCATATAAAGTTTAAGTTTTATAGGAGATACTGGTTTTATAAAGGATATTGAAGCTGCAAGAGATTAAGTAACTTGACCAACCACTAAGTGACAGAGTAAAAAGTAGGATCTAGGAGTCTTCTACTAGTTCTCTGAGAGAGCTATATTATAATGTGTGCTTACAGCCACTACCCTCCATTCCCTTTCTTCTAGGCTGGATTCATGCTGTGTATACTCCTACAGACACATTAGTCTTTGGAGGCAATTTTTTACATAGCTTCAATATCCCCATGCAGTTAAAAATATACAACATTGAAGATCGGACACGGGTAAGTAACTGTGCATAACAATTGGATGTGAAGAGATTAATTCCATTTAAGACAGATGTTAGAGTCACTGGTAGTTTATCTCAAAATTATAAAAATTTTCTTTTGAGTTGAAGTGCAGTGTTAACATTTCAGGGACACTGAGAAAAAAGTTTTAACAAGATATATCTGCATATTTTGGGGATCTCTAATTCTTTAAGGTTCTTGATATCTTGGATTTTTATAAGGCTAGAGATGGACATTTGGTAATCTCTTAAGCCATGTTTTTAATTTGTATGCTCTTTCGTAGAATAATCCAACGTAATGGGATTTATCAACTCAAGAGTCATAACTTTGAATGCATGTATTTTTACTCTGATACTATCTAATATCCAAAATATTGTACTTTTTTTTTTTAATGTTTATTTTGAGAGAGAATAAGGGAAGGGCAGAGAGAGAGAATCTCAAGCAGGCTCTACACTGTTAGCACAGAGCCCGACTCCAGGCTCAGTTTCAAGAATTGTGAGATCATGACCTGAGCTGAAATCAAGAGTCAGATACTTAACCAACCGAGCCACCTCGGTGACTTTGTACTTTAATAAGTAAATGTGCATACTGCTTTTGGGGTTCCATAAGAGAATCAAGTCCTTTAGAAAATGATATATATGTCTTATTCTCTTGGTTTTCTTTCCCTAGGATATTGCATAGCTGTTACCATTCTAGAGAAATAGGAAGAAAGTTAGTTTATTACATGTAGAGGACACCCTAGCAAGAATTGGCAGACCTTTTCTGTAAAGATCAGATAGTGAAATACTTAAATGAAAGAGCATGGCTCAAATAAAATAGAATTTTATTTAGGGACACTGAAATTTGAATTTCATATAGTTTTCCCATATCCCAAATGCTCTAATTTTAGGGTTTTTTTTCAGCCATTTAAAAATGTAAAAAGCATTCTTAGCTCACAGGCCTTAGAAAAACAGGCAGCAGACCAAATTCGCTAGCTGCTGTTTGCTGGCCAACCCATGTCTTAGGGAAGCAGGGCTTAATCTTTTAGCAGAGCCCACCCACGTTGGTGAAGGCAGAATCATATATGACTTAAGTATAGATGGTATAGACTTTAAACAGCAATTAGAGTATAGAGCCTTTAGAAGGCATTATGTTCCCACCTTGTTCTCAGGTAGTTCAGCAGAATAACAACAACAGCAACAACCGTGGTGGGGCACCTGGGTGGCTCAGTTGGTTAAGCATCTGACTCTTGATATCGGCTCAGGTCATGATCTCACAGTTCATGAAATCAAGCCCTTCATCGGGCTCTGCACTGAACATGGAGCTTGCTTGGGATTCTTTCTTTCCCACTCTCTGCTCTTTCCCTACTCATGCGCGCTCTCTCTCTCAAAATAAATTAAGTTTAATAATAATAATAACAGCCATGTATATGAATAGAGATTAGCAAATGTAGGAAAATGTTATGGCTGGTGAATCTTGAAGAATGGTGTAAGCAGGGTTCATGGTATTGCTCTCCTCAAACTTTTTGGAAGATTAAAAAAAATAAGATAAAACAGGAGGAGGCAAACCATGAGAGATTCTTAAATACAGAGAACAAACTGAGTGTTGCTGGAGGGATGGTGGCCAGGGAGGTGGGTGACGGGCATTAAAGACGGCACTTTTTTGAGCACTGGATGTCATAGGTAAGATGAATCACTGGGTTCTACTCCTGGAGCCAAAACTACAGTATGTGTTAACTAACTTGAATATTTAAAACAACAACAACAACTCTTTTGGCAGATTTGAAAGTTTTCAAAGTTAAATTTAAAATATCACAATTTGAGGTGCCTAGGTGGCTCAGTCAGTTAAGCATCCATTGATTTTGGCTGAGGTTATGATCTCACAGTAGTGAGATTGAGCCTGCATTGGGCTCCGAGCTAAGTGTGGAGCCTGCTTATGATTCTCTCTCTGCCCCTCCTCTGCTTGCCCTCTCCCTAAAAATAAATAAATAATCACAATTAGTGAAGAATTTGCAATTTTTAGGAGGAATAGTCATTGACCTGTTTACTATGAATATGGTCAGTTAGCTATTTTGGTGCCTATTTTGAAACATTTATTTTGGTTAGGAGCTATTATCTTATACACAGCAATGGTATTGTTGGAGTTCTAGGGATTGCCCTATTTGAATTAAGAAGATACAGTGCTTGGGGCACCTGGATGGCTCAGTCCGTTGGAGTGCCCGACTTTGGCTCAGGTCATGATCTCATGGTTCATGGGTTCAAGCCCCACATCAATCTCTGTGCTGACAGCTCAGAGCCTAGAGCCTGCTTCGGATTCTGTGTCTCCCCTTCTATCTCCCCCTTCCATACTCATGCTCTGTGTCTCTCTGTTTCTCAACAATAAATAAATGTTTTAAAAAAAATTAAACAAAGAAAAAGAAGCAGATACAGTGCTTTTTTTTTTTTTTAATGTTTTATGTATTTTTTTGAGAGAGACCGCGTGAGCAGGGGAGGGTCAGAGAGAGAGGGAGATACAGAATTAGAAGCCGGCTCCAGGCTCTGAGCTAGCTGTCAGCACAGAGCCTGGTGTGGGGCTCAAACCCACAAACTGTGAGATCATGACCTGAGCCGAAGTTGGACGCTCAACCGACTGAGCCACCCAGGTGCCCCGATATACAGTGCTTTTAAAATAAATTTTATAAAAGTAAATTTATACTTATTAAGAGTATGAGGGGTTCCTGAATGGCTCAGTCGTTTGAGCATCCAACTTTGGCTCAAGTCATGATCTCACGGCTTATATGTTTGAGCCCCATGTCGGGCTCTGTGCTAACAGCACAGGATTCTAGGTCTCCCTCTGTCTCTGCCTCTCCCAGCTCTCACTCAGTCTGTCTGTTTCTCTCTCTCAAAATAAATAAACATTTTTTAAAAAAAGTAATGAAACTACAAAAAATAATTAGTAAGTTTTAAATTATAATAATAGTTAAAATGTTTCCAAATTGTGTAATTTCATACTCTGGTTTCTCTTCAGATCGCATAAATCTTTCGCCTTTTACCAAATTGTGTAATTTCACAGTAGAATACTTTTATTTAACTCAAAATCATTGTGAGGTAATACCACCTACCTACTGTAAGACTCAATCTGAGAATTAGTTTTTAGAAAATACTCCCCTTTTTTGGCTAAAAATTACTGTGTTATACCCATGACTTAATTGCTTAGTTGCTCAGTTTGAGTGAAGAAAAGGAGAATATGTATATATTCAGTGGCATAGGTGAAATGAGGTACCTTATCTCTGTATGAAGTTTCTTGCAGACTGCTAAACTTATAATAACTGATCTTGATTTATCTATCTAATTTCATAGACTTTGTTTATGGAAAAATGTCAAATTTCATTCTAGCCACCATATTATTCCATTTTTCCTATGTATAGCTTAATTCCTTCACTCTCAAGAAGGAACTTCTCTGTTTCTGTAAAATTTCATTGAGCCCCTGCATATGTGTACAAAGCGATTTTTTTTTATTGCTTTCAACACCAACCTTTTATGTGCCAATACCAACTGGTATCCATTTAATATGTTACTTTACAAAAATACAGTGTGTTGTAAATTTAAGACAATGTTTTTGGTTTCTTTTGCCATCCCAGTGTGGAAATACCATACTATTTAAACTTGAGTATTGCGGGATGCCTGAGTGGCTCCATTGGTTAAGCATCCATCTTTGGCTCAGGTCCCAATCTCATGGTTCATTAGTTCAAGCCCCACATTGGGCTCTCTGCCATCAGCACAGAGCCTGCTTTGGATTCTCTGTTCTCTCTGTCTCTGTCTCTCTCTCTCTCTCTCTCTCTCTCCCTCTCTCGCCCCCTCTCCCTCCCCCTCCCCCACTTGTTCTCTCCCCCACCCATAAATAAATAAACTTTAAATAAATAAATAAACTTGAGTGCTAGTAATTATCCCACTGATAGCACTGAAAAGCTCAATTTTGTAAGGAGGATTTTTTAAAAACTCTCCCCCTATCCCCTCCACCAAAATTTTAGCCCAGTCTTAGAAACTAATACACTCTGTGGTATCTGACAACATAGATAAAATATGAGGCAAGTTGGATGTGTGATATCTTGGCTGTTACTAATGCAGTCTGATGAGTTCCAAGTAAAAAATCCAAAAGTTTAATGACCTGTTATATATTTTCTTTTTTACTGTCAGTATTACTCAGCTTTCAACAGAGTCCCAAAGGGCTGTAGAATTTTGGGTTGTCCTGAACTTTTAATAAAGATCTTTACAGAAAACTGTTATACCTGTAAAAGTTGAGCAGAGAGGCCCGTGTATTATATTTAATTTGGGGGCACCTAGTACCTGTTAATCCTTTTGGTCCCCCTCCCACACCTTACCAAAAGTAAATTAATTTGACCTTTTTTAAAGCTTTTATTTATTTTTCAGTAGGCACTGGGCCCAATGTGGGCCTGAGATCAAGAGTTGTATGCTCTGCTGACTAGGCCAACCAGGCACCCCCAATTTGATGTTTAAATAAAGGAGGAAAACCTCTTCAGGTTGCCCAAACTGTAGTCACTTAAGAGACCTAGATTCAGAGGTGCATGAGTGGCTCAATTGGTTAAGCATCCAGCTCTTGATCTCAGCTTAGGTCTTGGTCTCAGGGTTGTGAGTTCAGGCCCTCCATGTTGGGCTCTGTGTTGGGCATAAGCCTACTTAATAGAGAGAGAGAGAGAGAGAGACCTAGATTCAGAGCCTAACCCCTCTGAATTGGAAACCTAATGAAAGGTTCATACCTCTCCTGCCTTGCAATGAGGAAAGTAATCCCCTCGCTCCATGGTCATGCTCCATGACCTTTTTAAAGGCTCCTTTAAAAAGGGCCTTCCATCTAGATCTCCTTGATTCAGGAACACTACCTGACATGGAGCTTTGAAAAGGAGATGAGAATGTACTCAGGAGTTGAATATTCAAAACAACCTTAGAAGTATTGTATGGCTTATCCTTTTGAAAGTGTCCTCTCTAAAAGATGATGGCAAAATATATATAGGTTAGTCTCTGTTATTGGTCTTCCTTACTGGTTAATCCATGCTAATTTGCCTTTTCGTCGACTATGGTAGATCTAAAAGGCCATTCTTTTTATTATTATTCAGATGGAATAATTTCATGCTACTTCTGGAGAGCATGAAAAGAAAACTAAAGACAATGGCTGATTAGGCCATGTGGAACAGTAATCTAATTTGTGGACTTGCCCTTTTGGCAGACTACAAAGTACTGTACAGACAAGCTGAGAGTTGATGGTGGGGAAAAATACTGTCTTGTGTCCTAGACTAGACACAGCTTGAGAATGAGTCTCTAATTATACTTTTCTATAACTTCAACTCCTATCCTGTTTTCCATTAGATTCTTTGTTCCCTGGTCTTCTGATTGAGATTAAAACTGAGTGAAGGCAAGACTGCTTGGCAGGCCTTTGTGTCCCAAGAACCCTGAAACAGTTTTCTCAAGTGTATTGTGTCTTACTCTAGCCCAGAGGGACAAGAGAGAGCGTGTGAGAGCCAGGGGGGGCGGGGGGGCTAGAGAGAGAGAGAGGTCCCAAGCAGACTCCATGCCCAGAGCAGAGCCCGACTTGGGGCTCCATCTCACAACCCTGGGATCATGACCTGATCCAAAACCAAGAATTGGCTGCTCCACCCAGGCGCCCCCACAACTTCTTTTTGATGCTTTTCCAAGACACCTTCATTGTGGTTCTCAAATGTCTTTTAATTTCTAGGGATTGTTTCCCAAGACCAACATTTTTTAGGTTGTCAGATCCACTTAGATTCTTGTTCCAGTTGCCACCCTAGGTTTCAGGTTGACTAGAGAGCATTTTTCCTGGGTTAATCTTTGCTGTGATTCAGTTTGTCTTATTCTCCTTCTTGAAAATTGTTATCAGCTTGCTTTTTCTCATTGTTTTCTTTCCATGCAGGTTCCAAATAAGTTCCGCTATCCATTCTACTATGAGATGTGTTGGTACGTGTTGGAGCGCTATGTGTACTGCATAACCAACCGCTCCCACCTAACTAAGGAATTTCAAAAAGAGTCCCTCAGTATGGGTAAGTGTTCTGCCTACATGAACTTACCTGCTTGGACCTACCGAATTCATTCACTGGAGCTAAATATTGTTTATAGCTGATCTCTTACCCAGACGTGAATTATTAGGCAAAGTAAAATATCTGGGTCTCATCTTTGTCTGAATTGTTAGTACCCTAGCTCCTTAAGAAAGATGATCACTTGTCTGCTGTGTTTTATTGTATAAAGAATGGTCTTTGGCCCAGTAAAAACTAAGAACATGTCATCATTCTAACTCTTACTATATTCCAGACACTTTACTAAGCAGTTTATATACATTAAATTCTAATCATTACCTATGAGGGTAGGTATCATTATCCTCAGTTTACAAATGGTGGCATTAATTTTCAAGGAGATTAAAAAACTTGTCTATGATCTTATAGTTAATAGTGGGAAAGATACAGTTCGACTCAGACTGGTAAGACTCCAAAATCTATCTGCTCGGGCGCCTGGGTGGCTCAGTTGGTTAAGCTTCCGACTTCAGCTCAGGTCATGATCTCACAGTTTGTGGGTTTGAGTCCCACATCAGGCTCTGTGCTGACAGCTCAGAGCCTGGAGCCTACTTCAGATTCTGTGTCTCCCTGTCTCTCTGCCCCTACCCCACTCATGCTCTGTCTCTCTCTGTCTCAAAAATAAACAAACATTTTTAAAAAATAATAAAATCTATCTCCTAACCTCTATGCTTTAATGTTTCCTCAACCCCTATCAAGAGAAATATTTTATTGGATGGCAAGATACTTTTTTTTCCTGACTCTCACTGAGATTGGCAACTTCAAAAATGAGAACAATGGATGTAATTAGACGAGTCCTTTCGTTTTATTTTATTTATTTTTTAAATGTTTGTTTATTTGTTTTGAGAGAGAGGGAGAGAGGAAATCCCAAGCAGGCTTCATGTTGTCAGCATGGAGCCTGATATAGGGCTTAATCCCGGGAACCGTGAGATCATGACCTGAGCCAAAGTCAAGAGTCAGACACTTAACCAACTGAACCCCCCAGGCACTCCAGGATACTTCCAGTTACACATTTTTAGGCTGTTCTGTGCCCTGAGGTTCAGAGGAACCAACACTGTAATATCCTGTGATCATATCTTTCATGGAATCGTTAATCTAAACCAGATATTTTTTTGCTTTAGCATTTTTTCTTTGAGGGTTGTTTATATTCTTGCTTGAAAATAAAAAATGGTCGCTGAGTACATGAAAGCAGGATACAGAATTGTATATGCAGCATAATTCCAGTGCAATTATAGTCATGCACATATGCGTGAAATAAAGATGGAAAGAAAATTCACATCAGTTGTTGAGTTATCTAAGGGCAGAGGGGTAAGGGATGAGTTACCTCTTTGCACCATGCTATATTTTCTAAATTATGATTATTTTTATTATTTTAATGTTCATTTATTTTTAAGAGAGAGAGGGAGCATGTGCACAAGTGGAGAAAGGGTAGAGAGAGAGGGGGAGACACAGAATCTGAAGCAGGCTGCAGGCTCTGAGCTATCTGTGCAGAGCCCAACACAGAGCTTGAACCCATGATCCATGAAATCATGACCTGAGCCAAAGTTACACTTTAACTGACTGAACTACCCAGGCATCCTATATTTTCTAAATTATTAATAGTAGACATACATTACATTTTCCTCCTTTGGATTGGTTAATTTTTTTTTTTTTTTTAAATTTCTGAGAGAGAGAGAGAGAGAGACAGCATGAGCAGGGGAGGGTCAGAGAGAGAGGGAGCTATAGAATCTGAAGCAGGCCCCAGGCTCCAAGCTGTCAGCACAGAGCCCGATGTGGGGCTCAAACACACAAACCGCGAGATCACGACCTGAGCCGAAGTCAGACGCTTAACTAACTGAGCCACCCAGGCGCCCCGGTTAATTAATTTTTATACTTTTATTTTTTTATGTTTATTTTTGAGAGAGGATGTGCACTTGAGCCAGGGAGGGCTGGTGGGGGTGGGACAGAGGATCCAAAGCAGGCTCCCTGCTCACAGCAGAGAGCCTGGTGTGGGGCTTAAACTCACAAACCATGAGATCATGACCCTAGCTAAAGTCAGACACTTAACCAACTGACCCATCCAAGTGTCCCACCCATATAGTTTTCTTTAACAACAACAAAATTTTTTAAATTTATTTTGAGAGAGAACATGTGCAAGTAGGGGAGAGGTGGAGAGAGAAAGAATCCCAAACAGGTCCTGCGCTGCTTGATGCAGGGCCCAAACCCATGAACAGGACCATGATCTGAGTGGAAGTTAGATGCTCAACTGACTGAGCCACATGGGTGCTGCCCTTTAGTTTAACTTTTTATTCAAATTCCAGTTAGTTAACATGCATTGGTAATATTGGTTTCAGGTGAACAATGTAGTGATCAAACCCTTCCATATAGCACCTGGTGCTTATCTCAAAAAGCACACTCCTGGGGCACCTGGGTGGCTCAGTCGGTTAAGCATCTGACTTCAGCTCAGGTCATGATCTCGCAGTTTGTGGGTTCGAGCCCCGCGTTGGGCTCTATGCTGACAGCCAGCTCAGAGCCTGGAGCCTGTTTCAGATTCTATGTCTCCCTCTCTCTCTGACCCTCCCCTACTCATGCTGTCTGTCTGTCTCTCTCTCTTTCTCTCTCTCAGAAATAAATAAAACATTTTTAAAAAAATTTTTAAAAAAGCACACTCCTCAATCTCCATCACCTTTTTAACTCATCTCACCTACCTCCCCTCTGGTAACTATCAGTTTTTTTCTCTGTAGTTAACAGTCTGTTTCTTTTATTACTTTCATAGTAAAGAACCAATGCACATTTAATAATTTTTCTTTCATTAAAACTTTTGACTATCAAAATCTTCCTTTTAAAAAATACTTTGTGGTGGCGCCCGGGTGGCGTAGTCGGTTAAGCGTCCGACTTTCGCTCGGGTCATGATCTCGCGGTTCGTGGGTTCGAGCCCCGCGTCGGGCTCTGTGCTGACTGCCAGCTCAGAGCCTGGAGCCTGTTTCAGTCTGTGACTCCCTCTCTCTCTGACCCTCCCCTGCTCACGCTGTCTCTTTCTCTGTCTCCTAGAAATAAATAAAACATTAAAAAAAAAAAATTTAAAAAAATAAATAAATAAATAAATAAATAAATAAAAAATACTTTGTGGGGCCTCCCCAGGTGGCTCAATCGAGTAAGCATCCAACTTCAGCTCAGGTCATGATCTGGCGGTTTGTGAGTTTGAGCCCTGTGTCAGGCTCTGTGCTGACAGCTCAGAGCCTGGACCCTGCTTGGATTCTGTGTCTCCCTCTTTCTCTACCCCTTGCCAACTCACACTCTGCCTCTCTCTCTCTCAAAAATAAGCATTAAAAAATTAAAAAAAAGAAAAAAACTTTGTTAGGCATATTGATAGGATTCAATTCCAAAGTTTAATTTTATGACAAAACTTTGAGGAAAACTACTTTTTAGGGGCACCTGCGTGACTCAGTCAGCTAAGTGTTCAACTCTTAATTTCAGTTCAGGTCATGATCTCACTGTTCTGTGAGTTCAAGCCCAGCATTGGGCTCTGCACTGACAGTGCAGAGCCTGCTTGGGATATATTTCTCTCTCTCTCTCTCTCTCTCTCTCTCTCTCTCTCTCCCTTTTACTTGCCCACTCACATGCCACAGAGTGTGTGTGCTCACTCTCTCTTTCTCTCTCAAACTTGATTAAAAAAACTATGCTTCATATACTAAGTATATGCTTCATAATAATCTGCTTTTTTAAAAAAGTTAATGAAATCGTAATCCCAAATTTCAGTTTGGACTCGAAACTAATTTAGAGCCATTTTTAGCTGACTTATTTCTAGCACACAATTCATAGACTCTTCCCAATCTTTTGAAAAATCAATTAATCATTACCTCAGTTGCCCTACTAGCTCAGGATCCTATTCTTAACTATAACTATGATTTTCAACAGTGGGCAAATGGATTGGGATAAGGAGAGATCATTTTAAAATGTCACAGCTTTGTCATTTATAACCTCAGGGCCCCTTCCATGCTACGTATTTCTCTTGATCACACAGTCAAGTGGCATGTTCTTACTATATTTTTTCTTCTTGCTGGCAGATTTGGAGTTAAATGGGTTGGAATCTGGAAATGGGGATGAGGAAGCAGTGGATCGAGAGCCAAGGCGCCTGAGCAATAGGCGTTCTGTCCTCACTAGCCCTGTAGCCAATGGGGTCAACCTGGATTATGACGGACTGGGCAAAACCTGCCGAAGCCTTCCAAGTCTGAAGAAAAGCTTGTCAGGGGACTCATCCTCTGACTCTAGCCGGGGTTCCCACAATGGCCAAGTGTGGGATCCCCAGTGTAGCCCCCGAAAGGATAGGCAGGTGCATCTGACCCATTTTGAGCTTGAAGGCCTTCGCTGTCTTGTAGATAAGTTGGAGTCTCTGCCACTGCACAAGAAATGTGTCCCCACAGGGATAGAGGATGAAGATGCTCTCATTGCTGACGTAAAGGTAAGGGTCATTATGTTGCATGATAGCCACTGGCCTGGCTGGGGCAGGCAGTTTCTCAATTCTAAGAGAGAAAGTACAGGAATTTTGGATAGTCTGCCGCTCATTCAGAAGGAAATCCATATGTGTGTGCTGCACAGTGCTTCAGTTCCCAGGGAGAGGTGAGGTCCCTGTTGTGAAAACGCTGACTTTTATATGTTCAGTTAGGACTTAAATTTAGTCCTAAACACAGAGATTTCAAACTGATTGTAAAAATAAAGAAGAGCCTAATCTAAGAAAGTATTTGTATTAGGAAATATTACTTAATCAAGTTACCTATAGATAAAGAGGCCTGTTTCAGAACCAAAGTGGCCAGTAGCAATCTCCAGGACCCCCCACCCCACACCCCCATCCCCACCCCTCTGCAGACAAGAGAAGCTTCACTCTGCGGGGTGCTGTTGAATAGGCTTTGCAGATCTAGTTTCGTACTTACCTACTATTAAGACAAATTAAAAAAAAAAAAAATGACTTAACTACATTGGGACGGCTTCTGAGAAAGTGTCATTGTAAACATCTGTCTGGGGGCACCTGGCTAGCTCAGTCAGTGGAGCGTGCAACTCTTGATCTCAGGGTTGTGAGTTTGAGCCCCATGCTGAGTGTAGAGATTTAAAAAAAAATTATCCTATTGCTATATCAAGTTTCTTCGTGTTACGTATTTTTCTTATGTTTTCGAGAGGTCTCTCAGTATCGGTAATTTTCAGAGCCTAGCCCACCCCTCATGCATTGATCTCAGAGAAATGAGCTTATTTTTAAGGAATCCAGATTTCAGCTGTCTTAAATTGGAGAAAGTTCTTTGAAGTCTTTCCTCACAAGTTACCATTAACATGAACACCGAAAAGTATAAAGCTGGAAATATCAATTTTCTCTTTAAAATCATCATTTGGAACTGCATCTTGGGTGCAGGGCATGCATATGTGTAGTAGAAAGCTAGTTCACAATTAGTAATTAAATGTTTATTTTTAAAAGCTGTCATATACATTATTTTAAGCCACAGAAGAAGTTATATTGAATAATTTTATGTGACCCTAAGGAAGATAGGCTGAATATCTCCGTATGTCTTTTCTATCCCTGATTCCTGATTCACGTTTTTCCTTGGCCACTGCTCCCAGCTGAGGTGCTTCTGTAAGCACTCATGAAGGAATTCTGAAGTCTGGAGTAGGACCTGAACCATTTTTTTCCTTTTGTTTTTCTTTTTTTATGATAGACTTTTACATTGTATCTTCTTGTTTATGCATCAGTGAAAGGGTGAAAAAATAAAGAGGCTTAAATAAGTTGGTCCTCTCCAATGGTGATAGAAGCAGGACAGTTGATTTTATAAGGTTTTTCTAGAAAAGACAGATCATATCATTGTGGCTTGTATTTAGGGGAGGAAATGACAAAGTGCTAGGTAGATGTGGTCCTATTTCTATAACGATTAATGTGTAGCAAAACAAACTCAGCCATATTTTTCAAGACTCACAGACTGTATTCCAAACTCACTTTCCACCCTTGAGTGAGCAAAGTACATATATGTTTTTTTGTTTCCACTGTCATAGGACATATCTATTAATACCTCCTGAGAGTTTAAGTGTAGTATCTTTTTTTTTCCCTCAGAAGTTTTGTTTTTTTGTGTGTTTTTTTTTTTTTTTCTTATGTGGCTATTCCATCATAGATACATTTAGGAAACATTAAATTAACTTGCCTGTAGGATCCCTAAAAAGAAAGATTTCTAAGTTTCTATCTCACTGACATTCTTTTGGCCTGGCTATCTGTATTTCTGAATCATGAAAAAGAATAGTATCTTTTCAGTCCTAAGGAATTTGACTCCAGTGACTCCAGTTATAGGAAGCCATACTGTAATCCACTAGTCATCTGTACAAGGTCAAGTGTCATGATAGAACTACACAGACTCCCTTAACTAGTTAAATAAAGATACTTGAGGCAGCGTGGTAGGGAAAAATGTAGGAAAGTTTGGGTCAAGTACTAAGCGGAGTAAAAGTACGAAGCGGGAAGGGGGTGAATGAGTTAAAAATGAGATCTCTAAAGAGGGCTCTTAACATTATGAAAAGTGTCTAGAGAGCACTTCCTTGTCAGGAATTGTGAAAAGCACGGCTGCCACCCCGGGCCCAGATAGAGTGGCATAGAGACCAGAGCATGAGGAAGAGGCAGCCAGGAGGACCAGGAGGCTGACAGTGCGGGAACTCCTCCTGCAGGGGCTTGTCTTGCTTACCTGATACCATGGCTAAAATGCATTTGCTCTCAGAAGACAACAGATTTAGATCCCAGCTCTGCAGGTAATTTAACTTAAGATCAAATGGATTCATTATTCCTGCATTTGACCATTTATGTTTAATCTGAGCTTCAGACAATAGTAAATATTGAGCTTGAGTACTTTGAGAATCTGAACAACCACCCAGAAAGGAAAGAAGCTTTGCATTGGGTAGGTGCCATCACCGCACAGCTGGAGACTGCAGTGCTGGAGAGCTTGGTGCTTGTAGCCTAGAAGCCTACACTGCAGTGGAGGACAGCAGCGAGCCCAGAGTTTATTCTTCCTGCAGAGAGAGAATTGTTTCTTGTTGCAGCCTGTGTGACTCTCAGGAGGAACTAGCAGAAGAGATGAGAGCTCCACAGTTCTATATTCCTGGAAGAAAAGTCCATTTTAGTGGTGGGGGGAAAGGGCTTTGAAGATTCTAAAATGTTAAATTCTGCATTGTTAAAGAAGGATCGGGCGCCTGAGTGGCCCAGTCAGTTGGGTGTCCAACTTCTGCACAGACCATGATCTCACGGTTTGTAGATTCAAGCCCGTGTCCGGTTGTGCTGACAGGTCAGAGCCTGGAGCCTGCTTCGAATTCTGGGTCTCCCTCTCTGCCCCACCCCCATGCATCCTCCCTCCCTCCCTCCCTCTCTCTCTCTCCCTCTCCCTCTCTCTCTCTCTCTCTCTCTCTCTCTCTCTCAAAAATAAACATTAAAAATTAAAAAGGAAGGAAGAAAAGAAAAGAAAGAAAGAAAATAAATAGGATATAAAGTTGGGAGGGGATTAGATTAAAAAAAAATGGGGCATTAGAAACTGTTGACCTGGGGCTCAGTTGGTTGAGCATGTTGAGCATCCGATTCTTGATTTTGGCTCAGGTCATAATCTCATAGTCTGAGCGATCAAGCCCCAAGTCAGGCTCCTTGCTGAGCATTGAGCTGGCCTGGGGTTGATTCATATTTTCTGTCTGTCTGTCTCTCTCTCTCTCTCCCTCCCTCCCTCTCTCCCCTCCACTTCCCTCCCTCTTTCTCTCCCTCCCTCTCCTTCCCCTTTCTCCCTCTCCCTCTCTCACCTCCACTCCCCTCCCCTTCCTTTCTCCCTCCTTTCCTTTCTCCTTCTTTCCCTCTCTCCCTGAGCCCCTTTTTTTAATATATCAATGTATTTGGCTGCCCAACTCAATGAATGTTATATACTTACTATATTTCCTATTTTCTCTAAGATATTTTGATAAGCTGGGCAAACATGTGACTTTTGGTCAAGAAACTAGAATTATGAAAGCCTGTTTTCTCCTCTGTAAAATAACATCTACCTCAGTGGGGCTGTTGTGAAATTTAATGATAATGTTAGTAAATACTTAATAAACTATATCACTATTACAGAAAAATATCAGATGTCACAAATCTATGAATAATGCCTGCCTACTCTGTGCCAGAACCAGGCTGAGTGTTGGGGTAAATATGCAGACATGCTGTGGATCAAGCCCACAAGGGGCTTGCAAGTCATTGGTAGAGCAGGCATTTCAATGGGCTGAGAAAGTACGTGCATTCTAGGTTTACAGGTACCATGCAGGACATTAGAGTGCTGAGTGAACACTGAGGTGCCAGGTTCTGGTTCTGAGGGAAGAAAGTGCCAGTCTTCTTGATTGAAAAGTTAAGGGGGCACCTGGCTGGCTCAGTAGGTAATGCAGGCAACTCTTGATCTTTGGGGTCGTAAGTTTGAGCCCCATGTTGGGTATACAGATTACTTATAAATAAACAAACAAATAGTCTTTTAATATGGGCTCCTTGGTGACTCAGTGGATTGAGCATCTGACTTTTGATTTCGGCTCAGGTCATAATCCCAGAGTCATGGGATCAAGCCCCATGTCAGGTTCCACACTCAGCCTGCTTGGGATTCTCTCTCCCTCTGTCTCTGCCCCTCTCTCCCAATCACACTCTCTTATTTTTTTTTTTAATGTTTTATTTATTTCTGAGAGAGAGAGAGAGTGTGAGCAGGGGAGGGGCAGAGAGAGAGAGAGAGAGAGGGAGACACAGAATCTGAAGCAGGCTCCAGGTTCTGAGCTGTCAGCACAGAGCCCANTTTTCCCGAGTCCAACCATATGAGGGAACTCAGCTATAAGAAAATTAAATACACAGGAACTGTTGAAGCCCAGGTCCAAACACATGAGGGTTCTTCCAGAATCCACACTCTTCAAAATGATGTACTATTGTTTTTCATGCCTTGCCTCTTTTAAATGTGTTTTGAGGTAAACAGGAAGGAGGACAAAACATAAAAGACTTTTTTTTTAAAAAAAAATTTTTTTTTAATGTTTTATTTATTTTCAGGAGAGAGAGAGAGACAGCGTGAGCTGGGGAGGGTCAGAGACAGAGGTAGTCACAGGCTGAAACAGGCTCCAGGCTCTGAGCTGGCAGTCAGCACAGAGCCCGACGCGCGGCTCGAACCCACGAACTGCGAGATCATGACCTAAGCGAAAGTCGGACGCTTAACCGACTAAGCCACCCAAGCGCCGCCCACCCACGCTCTCTTAAAAAAAAAAAAGTTAATAAACTTTCCTGTTAGATGATAAAACATTATATAAATGGCTCTCAATTTATAAATTTCAGAATTGTTCTTTGTGTTGCAATAAACTCCTACTGTTGCTCTGATCTAAGATCCTAACATTTTATTTTGTAACCATGATCTAAAAATTTACACTAGGCTCTCTCTGAGGAGTATGATGGAACCGAAAGCAAAGTCATGGTTTCAGGTAGATACAGATACTAATGAGAAATTTGCTTCATCTGACACTTTGGGGGTGACTCTGGCACTAAAGAGAAGAACCGGTAGAGGATCCATTATAATTAGATCTTAATCCACTAAACCAGATTAGAAGGGGGAAAAGGCAACCTGTATAAATAAAACTTCATTTGAAATATAATCCACACATTCTTAGTAGAAAGTTTTATATTTATTTATCAATTTATTTTTTAAAACAAACTCTGTACCCAACGTGGGGCTCGAACTCATGACCCCAAGATCAAGAGTCACATGCTCCACCGACTGAGCCAGCCAGGTGCCCCCCAAGTAAAAAGTTTTGAGTAATTTAATAGCTGCAAGGCGTATAAGGTTAGGTTTCAATACATAATAATTCTTCAAAGTGTTTTCATTATATTATTGTGTTATGTAATGTCATGTTTTTTTGTTTTTTTTTTTAATGTTTTATTGATTTCTGAGAGAGAGACAGCATGAGCAGGGGAGGGTCAGAGAAGGAGATACAGAATCTGAAACCAGCTCCAGGCTCCGAACTAGCTGTCAGCACAGAGCCCGACACAGGGCTCAAACCCACGAACCATGAAATCATGACCTGAGCCAAAGTTGGACACTTAACCGACTGAGCCACCCAGGCGCCCCTGTAATGTCATGTTCTTATCATCTCTGATCTTTGTTGCCTATCTTTTATTCTGAATTAACAGGAAAAGAAAAACAACTGGCCTTGTTTAATATACGATTTGGAAGTCCTAGTGCCCTGTCTCGGTTTTGTCCTTTCCTGGTGGCCTCTAGGGTTTTCACTTGCTACAGCCTGGTAACATGTTTCTCCTTAGTATTCCGTTCTTTATCGTCCCTGCAGGTTAGATAGGACTGAGATGAAAACCAAGATTTTCCAAGGAGACCTCTCACACTACTAAGGAGAGCTTTTCAGACATAATAGGCTGATTGCCCTTTGTCTTTCAGTTTGCACTTAAGATAAAGTGCGAATGAGAGGTTTAGGATTAGAATGGCCATAGAAACTTTTTCAGGGAGCTCAACCAAAAAGCACAAAACTCCTACCTTTCTTGGTAAACTACTGTAAAAATTGAAATATGTGACCCCTGGCAGCAAAACCCAAGCCCCAGAAAGCCTGTTAGGCCACTGACTCTACACCAGAAACTCCCCGAAACAACTGTCCTGGAAATAAGATTTCCAGAGGGAAGAGCTAGGTTCTTAGTGGCCTGAGATGTTTTACTTCAAAGCAGCTTCTGTAATTTCTGAAAAAAGCCAAGTTACATTTATGAGAGTCTGAAAATTACATAAATCTGGATCCAAAAAAACAGGACACTGTAGTGAGAGATTGCTTGTTCAGTCTTAGCTTCACCCTGACCGTGAATCAATGCATGGAGAGTGTGTGACACGCGTCACTCGAGTGGCTGTCAGAAATGGCATGGAGATGCCTGACAGGACGCTAGGCCGGCTGCATCATCCAGGGAATACCTAGAATGGGGCAGGCGAAACAAGCGACTAGAATAGGAAGTATGCAGGGGTGCTGGTGTCCTGGAGGAGGGGTAGTCTGAGGGGCAGAGTTCCAGGAGACGGGTGGGTGTGGAATTGGCAGGCACAGATTCACTGGCTTCTTGCGCTGGTACCAAGGCGGGAGATAAAGCGCCTTGACCTGAGGTTGCGCCGCAGCTAGCTTTCCTTGGTCAGGATGGACGCGCTAGAAGAGAGCCGCCTGGGCGTTTCTGTTCGGTGGTAGAGTGCCCAGTCGTAACCAGAGGCAGACATCTGTTGTCGAAGTAGTTGATATTAAACAGACATATGTATTGAATATCTCAGTATTGGTTGAAATGTGTCACTCCTGAAGGTTTTTCTGGAAACACGTATGCTCGGTCTGGATTCTGGGCTGGGAGAGCGGCAGTGAGGGCAGGTGAAGCGGGTGGGTGTGTGGGGGGAGAAGGGAACTCGGAGGAACTCCGCTTGGGTGCCTGGCTCTTGGACTGGCTGAACTTCGGGCGACGTGCTGTCTGCCTGAAGAGCAGGACAGAGAAGAGAGAGAGAGTGTGTGTGTGCGTGCGCGCGCGTGTGGTGTGTGTGTGGTGTGTCAGCGGGCAAGAGCACTGGCTGTAACAACAAGAGGTGACCCTGAGGGTTAGGGTGTGGATGAAGACAAGGACACTCAGGGGCCCAGATGCGGAAGGGGTTAAAGCCTTCCCTTCTGCTGGCGCCTTCCGAAGTCAGTCAGCCCGAGGCAGCCCTCCGGGCCGGCCTTGGCTGCTCCTATTGCAGTGGTGGTGGGAGGGAGGAGCGGGGGCGCGGCCCGGCTCGCCTCCGGCAGCCTTTCCTCCAATCAGCAGGCCGCGAGCGCTGGCTGAGCACACCCCCTCCCGACTCTGCAGCAGGACGGCTGGGCCCTCTGCCTGGCTCGCTCACTCGAGCTCAGCTCCCCCTCCTGCCATCTTCCGTTGCAAAGCATTTCTGGGAGCTGCATGTGGGTGACGCAGCAGCATTGTTCGCAGGCACAGGAAGCCGCGGCTGAGCTGAAGGGCTCGAGAAGGAGCTCAGAGCACGACACGCTGCTCCCTCTGGGTAGCCTCACGGGTTATAGCTGGACTGCCCTGCCTGATGTACTTTGGGAGATTCCGGAATTTTCAAGTAAATCAGGATTTTCCTAGAGGCAGAAAACCTAAACTCCTTCAGCACAACTTCCAATACAGAAAACAAAACAAAGACGCTGGGGAAACTTCAACCAAGAGCTTCAGCAGCTCCAGAGCGCCGAGAAACGCAAGGTCAGGCGGGTGGGCGGCAAACCCTTTCTGGTTCAGGGTGTGTGGAACTGTAGGGACTTTGTCTCAGCGGAAGAGGCGGAAGAACAGCCTGCCAGGGGAGTCCAGGACAATGCTCAGGTTACTTAGTGTTGCTTGAGCCGTCATTGCACTTGTCCCCTCTCCTGGTGGGATGTGCTCTTGAATTGGGTCTCTGGGCTTTTGGGAATCCTTTTTCCTTCTCTGCCCAGACACCCGCTGTTCTCTTCCCCTTCCTGTGATGTGTGGGGTGTGGGCTTGTGTTTGAATGTTCTCCCGAATGCCAGGAGCCTAGATAGGCGTCAGCCTTTCCGCACTCCACCCCCGCTCCCTGTCCCAAACCCCCTCTGGTGAAGGGTGGTGGCTGCTTTATATGGTTTCTTGGAGGGCCTCAGCTGGAGTCTGCCTTTTTTGATGAAGCAGGGCGAGTTTGTTGGTGGTATGGCCCCAACAAAATAAGGCTTGGATGGAAACCTGCATTTCCCTCCACACCCACACAGACCCCAGTAACAGAGTCTTATATGTGTGAACAGCTGCCCCCCACCCCCCACGCACACACAGTTTCTCCACCTACCTTTCCTCGTTCCCCACAAAAAATCCTGCAGGTAGATTTAGACTGCTTCTGGTGAACGGTTAGGTTCCTTTTGCTACTCTTAAACAATTGTGGATCTTTCTGTGAGATCTGTTTTGCTGAAAGTGGAAAGTCCCTGTTTGTGGACAGCTCAGTGCTCTCCCGGCGGCAGAGGAAATGGGCAGAGTCCTACTCCTCAGCAGTAGACATGGGGGAGGGGAACCATGGACTCCCTAGCATACATTTTGAATGGACCTGGATTTTTCACCCTAGGGAGATTAGGAGCCCATACCGGAGCCTGGTCCCACGTGGCACCGCACCCCGCCTCTTCACCCCCACGCTGTGCGGTGCTAAACAGGAGGCTTCAGAATAGGATGCCATAGCAACTTGAAGTAAATAAAACGTCTGCACTTGAAATCAGTTTGGGGGGGGTAGGGTGAGAGGCATCTGGAGACTTGGCAAAGGGGTTCTTCGTGGTGGAGCTTCCTGGGTGTTTTAAAGGGTCTTTCTGAGTCCCGACTGGAATTTGGAGCATGATCCTTAGGCTAAGGATGAAAATGCTTGGTAGGAAGTGCCGCATGCTTCAAAAAGTCCTGGTCTCTGGGCCCAGAGCCCATAGGGTTATGGAAATGATTATTAAAGATGGCCTAGGCATGTTCATTGTCCAGGATCAAAGTTTAGTGTTCGCCGAAACAGTTCATGCACTGTACACACTAGGGCAGCCTAGCCTGAAAAGAATCTTGTAACTTGTCTTTTGGATTTGTTTTCTTTTGCTGCTGTCCTTGCTGTAGGGCGCGTGAGGTCAGGGGAAGAGGGATTTTATTCTGCTCCAAGGTTCAGGATTCAGAAATTTGTCTAAAACATAAAGCCTTGCTTCCATATAATATTCAACCAGTATGATTCAATTCAGTGGCAGTTTCTTACTGCAGTGTTGTCCTCAAGTCATTCAAACTAGATTGGTTAAAGCCATCAAAGCTGTTGCCCTAAATTGTTCTTGTTCCATTTAAAAGAATAAAGCCAAGCGATTGACTTTGTGTGTGTGTGAGAGAGAGAGATTAATCGATTGGTTAATTTGAAGTTGAGACTTCTGTTATCAGACTTAGAGTTCTGGGTGGAATCAAGACATTAAGACTCTGCTGTTCCGCTCATATTATTAATTAAGTATTAGCCAATCTTTTTTGTCGCTTCACTGAGATCTGCAAACTGAAGGTAGTACTTCTCGATAATAATCGTTGGTGTTGAAAAGTAAAGGGGCAATATAAAGTTTTCCTGCCATATACAGAACTGTGTGACAGGTAACACTTGTCGCCCTGTGGCTAGTTACTTCAGCATACATACTAGCAGTATAGTGAGTGTGCAGGTACGGGGTTCGGAGCAAAGGTAAATTTACAAGGTCTCGATAGCACTACAGTAGTTTTGAGTTTTCTCTTTATCTTCAGTTTGTTTGTCAGTGAGTCTCTAAAGGAAGGGAAAATATAGTTGCCAGCCTGCCCTTCCCGTGTTGCTTGTGGGGACAGAGGCTAAGTCTGGATGCTGTTGGGAGTGGTTGGCTCTTTGTTCACTGTGTCCTGCTTTCTTCCCCACTCTTCTACCCTTAGATTTTGCTGGAGGAGCTTGCCAACAGCGATCCCAAGTTAGCCCTCACTGGAGTCCCTATAGTACAGTGGCCAAAAAGGGATAAGGTAAGAAACTATTCTTTTTATCTTCAGGCTGCTGAAGCATTTTGCTAGCCGGCTGTCACCATTCCAGGGAGGGAAAGAACAACTAGAGGCAGACAGCCTTTGGTGCATTAATATAAACTGACAGAAAATCATTACTCAGTTCTGTTTTAACTCTTGGGTCAGGGTAATTGTCTATCTTTAGAGGTGACTCTGTTAACGGAACTATCAAACCAGGAACCTGCCTCAAGGTTTGGATGCAAAAGTATGCATTTGTTCACTGGAATGGATCCGTTCCTATCTTTCTGGCCCAGTGATTCAGTCATTTTCACAGATATTTTTAAAAACTAGTTACAATAATTACATATATATTTAAATAGCGGGAGTGTTTCTATGATGTCGTGAGTGTACACTCAAGATTCCCCTTAATTTGGATTTTTCAGTGTCAAATTGAAAAGAGAAGGAAAATAATCACCTGTAAGCTAATAAATTGTCAGGTATGAATTTTCATGCCTCTTCCTTTAGGTCCTGTGTAATTTTTCCCATATTGTCCTTTATCAAGGTTATTTATTAAATAAAACGTAAGGGCTAGCATTCTGATCCTGGCCGTGAATCTGGCAAATACATAGTCCCTTCTTTGGTTCTCCCCAGCTGAAATCTGCAGAGCCATCACATTCCAGGAGTGTTTAGGTGAATAGCTGTGAAAGATCTCTTAAAGAACCCCTTCTTCCTACCCGGATGGAGGAGTCCCACTCGGCCTATGCTTGACCACATGAGACTGCCTCAGAGCAGTTTAGTCATCTCTGCTGTTGAATGTTTTGTGTCAGGAACATGTTTAAGGCACTGCAGAAAATTAAAAAACTAAAAGACCTGGTCCCTGTTCTTGAAAAGGTCACCAGGGACAAATACAAGTACTAAAATGATAAACCTGTTCCTGAGGGATGTATTCTACATGCAAGTGTCACTGGGAGTCTGTTGTGTACCAGACTCAGAGTAATACAGAAATGAGCAAGATCCATCTCACCCTCAAGTAGTTTACCCTCATCTTTAGCAGTATCTTCTGAGTAGTAGTATCTAGGAAAAGGAAATATCGGAGGGCCCCTGGAATGACTTTGGTACATAGGAAGCCTCAGGGAGGGGTGAATCTCACAGCTGAGCAGAGTAAGAGGGATGTGACTGACGTAAATAGCCTGAAGGGACTGGCAAACCTCTGTAAAGGTAATATGTAGATGATAAATGGAATAACGGTAATCGATATTTTAGGTTTTGCAGGCCACACGGCCTCTGTCTTCTCAGCTCTACCATTGCAAGTGAAAGCAGCAACAGACAAGACATAAAACAAATGAGCTTCGTTGTATTCCAGTCAAATATCCTGTATAAACAGCCAGTGGGCAGATTTGCCCACGGGCCATAGTTTGCCAAGCCTTGTAATCTTCTACCCAGTCCATCCTGAAAGCTACTCGATATATTTGACCTCACTGCTTTCTCTTTCTAGCTTAAATTCCCCGCCCGGCCCAAGGTGCGGGTTCCTACCATCCCCATCACAAAGCCTCACACTATGAAACCGGCTCCTCGATTAACACCTGTGAGGCCGGCCGCTGCCTCCCCCATCGTGTCAGGAGCCAGGCGGAGGCGAGTGCGCTGTCGAAAATGCAAAGCCTGTGTGCAAGGAGAGTGTGGCGTGTGCCACTACTGCAGGGACATGAAGAAGTTCGGGGGGCCTGGTCGCATGAAGCAGTCCTGCGTCCTTCGGCAGTGCCTGGCAGTAAGTGGGCTGCTGGATGAAGAGCTGGGGCGGGGGGGGGGCGGGGGGAGGGAGGCGGGGTGCCACAGGGACTGACATAGGTAGTAGAGAGCTGTAGAGACTCCAGAGACGGAAAGGAGAAGTTACTCTTCCTTTTCGGCTTGCTTTGCTTTGTCCCATTTGTCTCTGGGTTCAGAAGGAAAATTCCCTAATAATAAAAATGGTCCTATTTAATCTTTCAGCCTTGCTCACCCAGTTTGCAAATAAGAGAGCAATATTTCACAGGCAGATCACTGCTTTCTTGTCCCCTCTTTAACTGGATTAGAAAGAAAGGACCTGGGAGGCCCGGGACAGACTGGTGAAGATAAACTGGGGTCTCCGTCAGTTTCTAGTTCTCAGCTGGTTCATTCTCCCTCTCCTCTTTCTCATCTAGTTTTCCTACCAGAAACCTCTCTTCTCCACCTAGTTTCCTTGCTCCCTAAGTGTTCCCAAGAGAATTACAGGAAACACCTTACCCATCTTCAGTTAAAGGGAAGCTGAACCGATAAGGATCTAAGCTTGCTCTTTTCCTGGTTTCTGTCTCTCTCCTCTTGTAGCCCAGACTGCCTCACTCCGTCACATGTTCCCTCTGCGGAGAGGTGGATCAAAATGAGGAAACACAGGACTTCGAGAAGAAACTCATGGAATGCTGTATCTGCAACGAGATTGTTCATCCTGGCTGCCTCCAGGTGAGGAGAGGCCGGAGGGGGCCCCTGCGGTCTCAGGGACTGAGTGGAGCAGAGGCAAGTGGGAATCACTGATGTGGACCATCAGCTGTGGGCCATGTAGTGGTCTAACATCTGTCCTTGATTCCGTGGTCTGTACTGTGTGTCAGCCACTGTGCTTGACCCCGAGGACAGTCCAGGACACAGAAGAATAGTCCCATTTCCTGCCCTCATGGGGCTTGCGGTCTGGCCTCCATAGAGTGTGTTTGGAGTCCCCAGGCCGTCATGGAACTGCTTGGTCTATTTGGGAATGCTTTTTGCCCTTAAGCATCTCTTCTGTGTACTTGGTTTATTTCTGGATGTTAGTTCCTGAAAGATGGTTAGAGTAATAGTATCAGCTAACATTTAATGAGTGTATCTGGCTTGGTTCACACTTGAGGGCCTTTAAGAAAAAGTGGTAGAGGGATGCCCGGGCAGCTTAGTCAGTTAGGCATCTGACTGTTGGTTTTGGCTCAGGTCATGATGTCACGGATCGTGAGTTCAAGTAAAAAGAGAGAACGTGATAGCAAGGCACTTGGGTAGCTCAGTCGGCTCAGGTCATGATCCCAGGGTCATAGGATCAAGCTCCGAGTCCAGCTCTTCACAGAACCTGGAGCCTGCTTAAGACTCTGTCCCTCTCCCTCCCTTCCTTTCTCCCTCCCTCCCTCTCTCTCTCTCTCTCTCTCTCTCTCTCTCCCTCCCTCTCTCCTCTCCCCCCCATCTCTGTCTCGCTGCCACTCTTCACCTGCTTATGTATGGGTGGCTCAGTCTGTTGAGCTTCAACTTCGGCTCAGGTCACAATCTCACAGTTCGTGAGTTCAAGCCCCGCGTCACGCTCTGTGATGACAGCTCAGAGCCTGAAGCCTGCTTTGGATTCTGTGTCTCCCTCTCTCTCTGCCCCTCCCCCACTTGCGCACACGTGCATGCACATTTTCTCTCTCTCATAAATAAAGAAAAAGTGATAGGGAAGTTGATGCAGTCTTTAAGAGGTAGTGTCAAATCTTGAAGCATGAGCCCTGGGCCTAAGTATGTGCCACAGCTCCTTAAGTGATATGTAGGGGAGTAAACAGCCACTATTTTATATGCCTTCTCTTGTTTACATCTTTTAAGATAGCCCTGTGAAGTTGGATCTACCCTGTTTCTTCATTTCTTTAAATCTAAAGGGCACTGGTACCGTACTTAGTTTATTTTTCCAAAGGTGTCAGCTATATCATGACTGCCACCTGGCTGACAATGATTGCAAGATACTGTTAATTGTGAGAAGCGGCTTAATTTTAGAAATATTCACGTGTGGAAAAAATACACATCTTAAGATCAATAAAATTAAAGTATCCTCTCCATGTTGATAAACGAAGTATTCACTATATGCCAAGCTTTTATCTGAATACCTTATTTAACAGGTAATTCATTTAATCCTCACCACAGCCCTATAAGATAGGAGTAGTTATTTATCCAGACTGTACAGTTGAGAACAGAGTCACAGAGACTAGGCCAGTCTCTGAAACCATGCAATCATAATTACTATGCCACACTATCAAGATGAGGGCTGGCACCATTCTGAATAGTGTGGTCAGTTTCTTTTGCAGAGAGGCAGGAGACTGTCAGGAAAATAAATGTGTTGGGAAAGATACATGTAGAAGTCTGAAGACCCCAGATTGACCCAGACTCTTGGGAATTTCCTCAGGGACTCTAGCTTTGATCAAGTAACCAAGAGTGAAGATGACCAGTGTCTCAGTGGCTAGCAGTGGGGCTACTGACTCGTGGTTTTTCTCCCCGATGGGCTGATGTGTTTACAAAGGGGTAACTTCCAGGTTCTTCCCAACCTTGTGGCTGTTTGATAAAGGAGCCTTCTAACAGGCTTTTTTTTTTTTTTTTTTTTTTAATGAGACAGATTTCTAACATCCCTTTCTTCCTCTAGATGGACGGAGAGGGGCTGCTTAATGAGGAATTGCCAAATTGCTGGGAGTGTCCAAAGTGCTACCAGGAGGACAGCTCGGAGAAAGCCCAGGTAAGGGAGCTTCACCCAGACTGCGCCAGAGGAGAAAAGAAACGTCCAGCTTAGTGGAAGACTAGAGCATGTTTGCCTTTGGGACTTTATTCACATGGTTTTTCTGACCATGGAGATTATTTTGTATTTCGTTTGGTATCTTTTTCCCTCCCTCTTTAGTTAATTATTTGTTTTTCTTTTGTTTGAGTTTTTGTATTAACTGAATGTTGTTCCACTTGGGGTCTGCAAATTGCTGAAGTCCCCTTACACTCTGAGACCCTAGAAAAAGAGGCAGCATAGCTGGGCTGTGTGAGGAGGGCAGTGAGGGGAGCACGGTTGCTCCTGAGGAATGAAACTAGAGGGAAGGCAGTGACCTGAGGCAGCTGGTGAGTCCAGTGGTGTGCTGGAGTTTCCAGTTAAGCAGGCTCACATTTTTGTCCTCTTCACCCTTTTGACCCTACAGAAAGTCCTACCAATGTGCCCTACACAGGCAGCCCCTCCCTGCAATGGGACCAGTGCCATGACCTTGGCATAACTGAGGTTGGCCCAATGGGTAGTATCGAAGGGCCAAGAGGACTCTGGTTACTCAGGCCAGCAAGAACAAGACCTGTTGAGGGCACATACAGAGGTGGCAGCCAACCAGGCCCCCGTGGTCTCTGGCAGGTACACTGCACAGGAGTAGGGACAGGCTTCCCGGTCTTTCTGTTTCTTCCCACTTGGACACTGAGGTAGTTGAATTTTCATTCTATATATCTTTAAGGGCAGGAATTTCTAGAGTTGACTAGTGCTGAAGTTTTCCTTATCCCAAGTTCTTAAACTAGGAGCACTTATGTTTTTCTTCATTGGTGACAGTGGCGGCAGTAGTGGTAGCATTTGCCTCTCTTCCACAGCAGGCAGGTGGACAGATTTTATTTTATTTTTTTTTAAGTTTCTTTATTTTGAGAGAAAGAGAAAGCGTGCATGTGCCTGTGTACACACAAGTTGGGGAGGGGGAGAGAGAGAGAGAGAGAGAGAGAGAGAGAGAGAGAGAATCCCAAGCAGACACCGTGCTGTCAATACACAGCTCAGACCCGCGAACCATGAGATCATGACCTGAGCCAAAACCAAGAGTCAAATGCTTAACCAGCTGACCCACCCAGGTGCCCCAGGTGCTGTATATTCGTATTACCTTATGCACTGTAAAAGCCCGCACCCACAAGGTAGTCATTCTCTTTCAACCACAGTGCCCTACGAAGGTAGAGGAAAGAAAGGGAGCAGGCTCAATGCTGAGGGACAGAAACAGTCTCCCTGAGGAAATGTGAACCCCTGCTCGCTGATCCCTAGTGGACCACTGGCTCAGCTTCATCACAGCAGAGTCCTGGTGGCCCCAGAAGGAGACCAGGGGCGTAGGATGAGGCTGTGGGCCTTTATGGAGTGTCGGCTTCACTGAAGCAAAATTCCTCTTTTTCATCCAGAGCGGATTCCTTTGGAGCAGTGCAGTTTCCCACAGAGGTTCTCATTTTCTGCTTTATCTTCAATGCAGTTGGTCTCAGGATAGGGTGGGGTGCTGAGTGGAAGAAGCAGCCTGGTAGAGTCCAGCTCAGACACTGGTGAAGCTAAAAGTGGTATTTACTTCTATCAGATTCTGTGTTCTAGTTCAAATGTTATATGTAGGCTGCTTTTCTTCTACCACAAGCATCTCTCTTTCATCAGAAGCATCTCCTGGGTGAAGGAGTTAAATTAGAGATAGAATTAAAAATGGTCAGATTGCATAGGGGTAAAGTTGTAGCTCTTGAAAGGGTATCTTTATCCAGGGAATTCCAGAAATTGGGGCAAGAGATGAGTAAGGTGGGCCGTGGAATCATGCAGCCCAGATTTGGATCTCACTCCTCCATATTTGGACACAAACCTTTTTGACACAGGTAGATTTCCCAAGTGACCTATTTTAAGGATTTTGTTCTGTAACCAGCTTTCTCACACAGACTTGAGCTCAGTTGCTGATCCAGGCAGATTGCAGACTAGACTCCAAGGAGGTGACCACCCTGTAGCATGCAGGTACCCCGCTCCCCAGAGAAGAACAGAGATCTGTCTTCTCTCTAGTCTCCTGAGAGCACTAGTGAGGCTCACCCTGTAAATTTTAGAGGGTTTTGGAGAAAGCACTGATGTGACTCTTTTGGGCCTGTTTTGCAGAAGCGGAAAATGGAAGAGAGTGATGAAGAAGCCGTGCAAGCCAAAGTCCTGCGGCCCCTGCGGAGCTGCGACGAGCCCCTCACGCCCCCGCCTCACTCACCCACTTCCATGCTACAGCTCATCCATGACCCGGTTTCCCCTCGGGGTATGGTGACTCGGTCATCCCCTGGGGCTGGCCCCAGCGACCACCACAGTGCCAGCCGCGATGAGCGCTTCAAACGGCGGCAGTTGCTGCGGCTACAGGCCACAGAGCGCACCATGGTACGGGAAAAGGAGAACAATCCCAGCGGCAAAAAGGAGCTGTCTGAAGTTGAGAAAGCCAAGATCCGGGGATCGTACCTCACTGTCACGCTGCAGAGGCCCACCAAAGAGCTCCACGGGACATCCATTGTGCCCAAGCTGCAGGCCATCACGGCCTCCTCTGCCAACCTTCGCCATTCCCCCCGCGTGCTAGTACAGCACTGCCCAGCCCGAACCCCCCAGCGTGGGGATGAGGAGGGGCTGGGGGGAGAGGAGGAGGAAGAGGAGGAGGAGGAGGAGGAAGATGACAGTGCAGAGGAGGGGGGTGCAGCCAGGCTGAATGGCCGGGGCAGTTGGGCTCAGGATGGAGACGAAAGCTGGATGCAGCGGGAGGTCTGGATGTCTGTCTTCCGCTACCTCAGCCGCAGAGAACTTTGTGAATGTATGCGAGTGTGCAAGACGTGGTATAAATGGTGAGCAGGGATACAGGGATCAGGAATAGGGGTACGGGAGCAGGTGGCAGGTTTTCCATAAGAGAACTGCATGCACCTTGGTGTCTGGAGGCTTGCTGGGCCCTAAAGGATTAAGTCAACTCCGTCTATTCCCTAGATAGTGGGTCCTGTTATAGATGTGGCCAGTTGTGCCTATAGGTGTCCTCAGGGAAATGTGGCCCTTTGCTTACTCTCCCTGCTCCAGGCTTTCCCATCTCTCTTTACTGAACATATGAAACTGATCTGGGGGGGCAGATTTGTACAGTTTGTGTTAAAACTTCAGTCCACAGTTTCCCCCCTCAAGTAAGCTGCACTCATCACATGTCTGTTGAGAGCCTGTGATGATGTGCTAGTCACTGTTATTGGTGACACAGATGACTGCTTTTAAGCCCCTGTCTCAATTACCTCTCCGTCTAATGAAAGAGGTGGACATGCTTTTCAAAAAATTTGGATGTTTCCATAGTTTTCCAGGTTTTTGTTCTTACCCCAATAAGACCTACCATTTCTTCTCAAGAGGGTGATGCTCGGACCACTGGCATTCCCTGGGATCATGTTAGAAACACAGATTCTCAGGGTCCATTTCGATACTACAGAGTCAGAAGCTTTGGGGCTGGAGCCAAGCAGACTGTTGTTAACACGTTTTCCAGGGGCTTCTGATACACTGCTCCATCATAAGGAGCTTGTTTCTGCCAGAGAAGTCTTATGTGCCACTGGTAAAATATCTTCAGTAATTCTCCTAATATTTTCTCTTTGTAGGGCTAGTGGGCCTGCCTGGCTCTCTCTCTCAGTTTCCAGGCCGAGCCACCTAAGACTCCCATTATGTGCTGTCTCCCCTTTCCCTGCCAACCAGACTCTGAGCCAGGCTGGGGGGCAGGGGCTGTAAAATATTAAACAGAAGCCTGCATGTTGCAGTGCTATTTGTGGCCTGTGGACTGTAGATTGCAGTGGGAAGGCAGGCCTTTCGCTTTCAGTTCTGGTCTGGACTGGACCAGAAAGTATAAAGATAGCACTGAGGCAGAAATGCAAGACGGGAAGAAGACTCTCCATGCCTGATAATAGAGAGCCTCTTTCGGCTCGATACAGTAATGGGCTCTTTCTAGAGCTTAAGGGAGGACTGACTGTAGGTACGCTGAGGAACGCCTGTGTCTCTGGCAGCGAGATACGACTGACAAGGGAGAGAATGGGAGGCGAGCCTGAGGCTTCAGGCAGTAAGAAGTCAGCTTATTAAATAGTTGCTTAAATACACTTTGGTGGGAGCCATACCATTTTAATGCACATGAGAGGTTATAGTATATTGTTGTTTGCTCTGTGTTCCTAACAGCTGTGCTGTGTTCTCAGCCCTTCCAGAATAAATTGGTGAACTAGTCAAGTTGTCCACTACTTAACCTGTAGGGCTGCCATGGAGGACAGACCCTTTGTCTGAAGCAAAAAAAAAAAACACAAAACAGAGTATGATCCTTGTCTGAAGAACCTGGGGAGGGTGACCCTCCAGGTGCTCTGCTTTGCCCAGAAGCCTGCAGTGCCCTTTGATGGGAGCTCCTCTGACAAGGGGTATCGGGTTATTGACAGCTAGTTCTCTATCCTTCTGTCACAGGTGCTGCGACAAGAGACTTTGGACAAAAATTGACTTGAGTAGGTGTAAGGCTATTGTACCCCAGGCTCTCAGTGGCATCATCAAGAGGCAGCCAGTTAGCCTGGACCTCAGTTGGACCAACATCTCCAAAAAACAACTGACATGGCTCGTCAATAGACTGCCAGGTGAGCAGGCAGGGAAAGCGGAGTTCTAGGCAGTGCTTCTTAAAGCTGCTTTAGGGCAACAGTCCCCTTCCCTTGTTGTCTTTCTCTTTAGTAAGGGATTGACCCAGGGCCACCTTAACTGTCAGTCCCCAAGGCGCCACTCCAGACTAGCTGGACTAGCCAGTCATTGCCCTGGACAGCAAAGAGAATGGGTCTTCTCAGCGCAGCCACTGAAGAGATTTGAGTAAGATGTCGCCATGATCAGCCCCGTAGAATACTCTGTTCCCCTCAGCGTTTTGAGGTCTTGGGAAGACCGCAGGTCCCTTGCACTGCATTGCTCCTGTAGGAAATACGTAATTGGTTTTACCACCAGAGCTAGAAAATGTCACATAGGAAACCATAGGAACCTTCGAACTAGATTTCTAGACTGAGAAACCGTTTTACTGGTCAGGTCAGCTCGTCGTCGAGGTTTTGGATGTGCTGATGGAGTACGTGGTTGCATGTCTGTTTCTTCCCGTTGCAGGACTGAAAGACCTCCTCCTCGCAGGCTGTTCCTGGTCTGCGGTCTCTGCCCTCAGCACCTCCAGCTGCCCCCTTCTCAGGACCCTTGATCTTCGGTGGGCAGTGGGAATCAAGGACCCACAAATTCGGGACTTGCTGACTCCACCGGCTGATAAACCAGGTATGCTCTGGGCCTGACTTCTCCATGGTCATCTTAGGGTAGCTTTGTTTTTGGACAGACTTGGTCCTCAGAAGCCAAGAAAGTGTTAGAAATGATGCTGTGGATGAGTGCAAATTGAGAACAGAGTGATGGACTGTGTCCAAGTACAGGTCAGCTACTTAACAGCCAGTTACCTGCCTGCAGTTAAAGGAGGGAATCCGTCTCAAGGGGTATTGGAGTTTGGGGCCCAGAGAGTAGAATCCTGAAGAAGGCCGGGAAGGCTTCATGGTTGAGGTGGAACATTAAAAGCTGTTTCCATTATGGTCTAAAAAAGTGTAGGAGTGTGGGAAGGGGTGGAGCATTCCACACATACCCCTTTGCTGTGTAAGTGAGGCATAATCTAGCAGCTGGGAAGAAAGAAAACGTGTCTGGTTTCCTAGAAACTGCCCCCACACACTGCTCACTCCCTACAGGCAGGGCTGGGTGTGGGCAGTTTGCTTAGCCGTCGCAGGAAAGCCTGGCGAGGAAAGAGCGGAAGCTGCCCGCAGCTTTGGAGCTGGACTAGAGCTAAGAGTTTTGACCTAGGCTTTTTTCTGTACAGGTCAGGACAATCGCAGCAAGCTCCGGAACATGACCGACTTCCGGCTGGCAGGCCTTGACATCACGGATGCCACGCTTCGCCTCATCATTCGCCACATGCCCCTCCTTTCTCGACTCGACCTCAGTCACTGCAGCCACCTGACAGATCAGTCCTCCAATCTGCTCACCGCTGTCGGGTCTTCCACTCGCTACTCCCTCACAGAGCTCAACATGGCAGGTACGCTGCTATGATGTTTCATGACAAATGGTGCCCCATGCCTCCTGGAGGGCCCAGCCCTCCCTGGAACTTGACCAGGAGAACAGTGAACTTGGGTCTGTTGCCTGAACTGTAGTAACTCGTTTCCTCACACCTGAACAAGGACTCCGATTTGTTTGTCTCTTTTAACTGATGGGGGGGCCGGAGGCCTCAAGTAGTTGTCAGGTGCCTAAGGGCATGGCCACTGCCTGCCACAGCTTGGAAGGCTTGGCAGCGCAGGGAGGGCGGCGTCAGGGGGCACTTCTCGTCACTGAGCCAGGGAGTTATGAGACTCAGAGGGCTTTTGCTTAGCATTTCACAGCGAAGAGCTGGGAACTGAGCGGCAGGGGCGGGCTCCTGCAGCAGTGGGTACGCAGCGTGTCCTCGTTGTCACTGTCCCCACAGGTTGCAATAAATTGACAGACCAGACCCTGATCTACCTACGGCGCATCGCCAATGTCACCTTGATTGACCTTCGAGGATGTAAGCAGATCACTCGAAAAGCCTGCGAGCACTTCATCTCAGACTTGTCCATCAACAGTCTCTACTGCCTGTCTGACGAGAAGCTGATACAGAAGATCAGCTAAAACACACGCAGCCCAGACTGAACAGGAAACCGATCTTCCCCTGACTCCCCAGCCAGGAGAGCCTCTCTCCCCGACCCTGCACGGGCTCTGAGGCCAGCGTCACACTCCCTCTCTGCTCTCCTGTCCCTTGAGCCCTTTCCCTACAGGCTGGGCAGAGAGGGTGGTAGACACCAGGCTTACCTGCCTGCTCCTCTCCCTCCTAAGGAGAAAGGAGTAGCAGATTGATCCGAATCCGAGGGGAAAGCACAGGCTGTGTGCTGTCAAGGTGCCTGCTCGCTTGCTCGCCTGCCCGCCCGCCTGCTCACTCCCCGGCCAGGAGGCCGGGCTCTCAGTTTGAGGTGTCTGTGCAACCGTCATCTGTGCTGGGCCCTGGGGCCCTGCTCCCCATCATCCATGGTCCCCAGCCGTGCCTGGTTCTGAGCAAATCTCCAGGGAAGAAAGCGGCCCTGTCTCCATGGCCAGGTTCTCCTTGTGGTGTCCAGTGCGTGTCTCTCCTCTGCCACACTCTCCCCGCATATGCAGGAGGGGCTAGCAGCCCCAGGAAGGCTAGACCCGTGCCCATCATACTGGTGCTGTTGAGGTGTCAAACCTCTCGTCCGTGTCCACGCCCTCCCCCTCCCTACAGCTCGATCCTGTCCGATGCTCGTGGTAGTTCACGTAATGAGGTTACCCCACCCCAGACTTGCCCACTAGTCTCTATGAGGTCCTTGTTGCACTTATTGGGGTTGAAGCTCTTCAGAGGAGCCGGAACTGTGTACCCCAGGGACACCCCTGTTTTATTGCTTCCTAGGCAGATTCTGAGACCGGCACCATCTCCTTGTTCCCCTCCCTCATTAGCCTCCCACTGCCCTTCCCACGTGTTCCTCCTTCCTGCCTGGACAGGACTTTCCCAGGATGCGTGTCCTCAGAGGGAGCAGCCGATATCCCCCAGCCGGGGAGAGCAGAGAGCTGGGCTCGGTCCCGTCTGCCTCCCAGCAGGCTCTGGGTCTCCAGTGGGTGTAGCCCCCGGAGCCCAGGCCGCCAGTTCGCCCCAGTGGCTCACTGATCTGGCACCTTGTGGGGGGTAGGGGGTCCTGCTTTGAAGCCAGTCACCTGCCCTCTGCCTGCAGCCGTGGAAGGGGGTGTGCATGTGCCTCTGTGTGTGTGGCTGAGTGTATTACACGTGTGTGTGGAGGGAGGGAGGGGAGCGTGGTGTCTCCCACTCCACCGCCCTGTGTTGAGCCCCATCAGCTGCCCCCTTTTACTTTGCATTGAACGGCCTGTCCAAAGATCCTCTCTCTAGGGCAGCAGAGAGCTTTTTGCACTTTAAAAAAAAAAAAAAAAAAGGAAAGAAAGGTCGGAATTTCTTTTGGGTCAATATTTAAGTGTGTGAGGAGATGTTCAGTAGCAGCACCCTGTGGCGCAAGAGCTTGTAAAGGACAGACGCGGATTTGCACTCTGCTCCCCATCTGTGAGGATAGATAGCACAACCTTGCCCCGCCTTCTCGTCCTCCAGCCCCTCCCTTCCTGGCCCCTCTCCTGCAGCCCGGGCTCAGCCTCTCCTCCTCCCCAAGCCCTGCGGGGGGAGAAAGCCCTACGGGGAGGGGACGGAGCCCAGGCACCAGGGGTCTGAAGTGTGAGCCACCTTGAGGAGAGACGCCAACTGCACACTCGCCACTTCCAAAGCAATAGAGGCAGAGGGGCCCCCTCTTTGCCACCTAGCCCAGCTTTGACCCTGGCATTGACTGGCCTCCTAAGAGAAAACTGGGTCCTGGTAAGGGGCGGCATTGTGTCTGTTTCTTCCAATCTGCTGGTTCTCTTGGCTGCTCCTTAAAAGCAGCAGTCTGCGCCCGTGACCGTGACCCCGTGCCCCTCTGCCCCTCCCGTTGGCCTCCAGGCCCCAGGAGCCTGGGGCTGAAACTTTGAGGAAATGCCAGTGACTTATTCCAGAGTGCCTCAGTTAGGGGAACTTCTCTGTAAAGAACCCTGGGTATTGAGCAAAAACCTTATTAATATTATTGTTAATGACCTATAATTGGAAGCTTCCTGCCTTTTTTTGGTTGCTCCTGTGGAAAGTACTGAGAAGATTGTTTTGTTTTGTTGTCTTTTTATAAAAGGGGAGGTGGAGAGACCCCTTCAGAGCAGGGATTGTGCCGGGAGAGTGCCTCTGACTTTGGGACAGTTCATCCACAGAAATTTCCAAGCTGATGGTTTGGGTTTTGGGGGGGTTTGGTTCTTACTTGTGTTTGTTTTTGGTTTGGAAAAACAAGCATTTTTACCGCGCACGTATATTGGTCAGCAGGAAGGGGAGCCCAGGAGTGGCAGCCGACGGACCTATGCCCTTGCTGGGTTTCCTTGATCTCTGGGACTGTAAGGGGGGAAACGGTTTTTAGAGGCGAGGGTCGGTCCCTGTGGAGGGAAGAAATGTTCTGGGGACAGAGGACCCCGGGAGTCCCATCGCATTTCCTGCAATCTGCTCTGAGGTGTGGCCTTGCCAGGAGAGCCCGCCCTCCTCAGACCGCAGGGCCACACACCCCGCCTCCATCTTTCCGAGCACCGGGGCGAAAAACCACAAAGGAAAGGAAGAAAATTTATATATATATAATATAAAATCACTTGGTGATTAAAAAAAATAACTGCTCCATAAATAAAACTCCTAAAGTCACTATGTTTAAAGGGTTTGGTTGTGTTTTTTTGTTTTTCGGAGAAATATTGTAAATATATATTTTTTGTTGCTGATTTAGAGTCAATCTCCAATGTTGTGCTAAAAATTTTAAATTAAATGTAAGCATTAAGGGGGCAAGTCCTGCTATCTCATTTGACACATGGGGGTTATTTTGGGCCAGGGAAGGAGGGAACCTAGTTGGACCTTTGTTTTCTAAACGTTCTCCACTATTGGTTTTAGAAAGAGCAAGGACCTCTTTTCTCTGACACATGGGAATGGGAGATATTTGTGTAATAAAATTTTTAAAAGACAAAAAAAGAAATAGACTCCAATGGGAAATATTTTGATTTGGGTTTTGGGGGGTTTTTTTTTTTGTTTTTTTGTTTTTTGGGGTGTTTTTTGTTTTTGTTTTGTTTTTGTTTTTTTAATAAAAAGGCTTTAAAAACTAAAACTAAAACAAAACCTCTTCTGCCTTGGTGTGTGTGTGCGTGAAAGAGAAGGTCGTGCGGGCTCCGCTGCTGGAGGCCAAGGGCTGCCTGCTTCATCCCTCCGAGCAGAAGCAGCGAGACTGCTATGCGCCTGTTACTACTTGCCTATTTTTTTTAAGTCAAAAAGCATGACTTGCTTCTAGAAACACCATATTTTACATCGTCAAGGTGACTTTCTGAGGGATGTGAAAATGTGAAGTGTGACTATCGGATCCCCTGCGGTCCCCACTCCCCTCCCGCGGCACTTGTCCTGAGAAAGCCTGGGGACTTCTCATCTTGCCATCCCTGGAGATGCAAGGCCAACTTCCATCCACTAGAGCTGCGGAACTGGCCCTTTGACGGTGCCTGCTCAAGGTCCCGGAGCAAGCTCTGGACCCGACAGGCCCCAGTCAGCATTTGTCCCACTGCGTCCTGCTGCTTCTCAGCACTTGGCTTGTTGAGTACAAGCTTGCAGCCTTTAGGCCGCGTGCTAGGTGCTGCCAGCCGACTGGCTCCTCGCCCGATTGTGGCATCTCGGGAGAGCTGAAGTCCCATCCGGGAGGGCCTGAGTGGGCCTCCCCGCTCCCTTGAGGGGGGAATCCCTGCCCCTCCTACTCCCAAGCTGACAGTTAAGGACCATCTGCAATTCTGAGCGTTCTAGAAAAGGACAGGGTCTTGGACAGGGCGGATTTCGTGTTGGGTTTCCTGAGGATGGATATGGATGCGGCCGTACTTGGATGCTGTCAGGGAAGGAACCGTGTCAGTTTTGCGTCCTATCTAAGAAACCCATCTGCCTCTCGCTTACCTCATCTCTGTCACCCTACTAAAAGCCACCATTGTCTGGAACCTTGACCACAGCAAGAGCCCTGAGTGCCTCCCAGCCTCCAGTCGAACCCCTGCCCTCCATGTTGGCAGCCAGGACGTTTTGCTTAAAAGACAGATTTGACTACTTTGATTAAAACTCATTTCATGTGTTTCTCAGGATCAAGGCCTCAAGTTTCCTCCCTCACATTTGCCCCTCCTCCTCTCCACCCATACCTAACTCTTTTCGGTCCCACCCTCCCTGGGCCTTTGCCGTTCCCTCTGCTGGTACACCTGCCTCAGTTTATCTGCTACTTCCTCCGGGAAGCCATCGCCCCCCTCCTGTTCAAGACTGGGTCATAGGCTCCCACGGTCCCCTACTAGCTTTTAGGGTGCCGAGGTCATCTCCCCAGCTAGCCGGCAAGCTCCAGGAGGACAGAGAGGAGTCTGTGCTGCTCACACCATCCACAGTGGCTGGTGCAGAGCTCGGCACCTAATAGGTGATGTTCCCAGTAGCTTGGATCCCCAGAGGCCCCTCCATCCCCAGTGCAGTCCATCTGCTGCCATGTGCTCGAAATTCACTGCTTCCATTACCACATACACCTTTACCCTTCCTTCATGTGCTGATGCTACTTAGTAGCCTCATTGGGAGGTGGGGGCGGTGGCCTATCCAATGGAGCCTGCATTCATCTATGAATTAATCTTCCTCAGGTGCACACAAAAGTCGTACGTCATCCTCCAGGGTCTTATCTAAACTCCGTAAACTCATCCTGCCGCTGGCATCTGTAAAATGGGAAGCACCATGGTTGGCACACTGTAGGTGCTTTCAAGAGGCCTTGAACTTTGTGGTCCTAGCTAGCTAGGCATGTTGTGTTTATTTTTTTTATTTTTTTTTAATGTTTTTTATTTTTAGGAGAGAGAGAGAGAGAGAGAGACAGCGTGAGCAGGGGAGGGTCAGAGAGAGAGGGAGTCACAGACTGAAACAGGCTCCAGGCTCTGAGCTGGCAGTCAGCACAGAGCCCGACGAGGGGCTCGAACCCACGAACCAAGAGATCATGACCTAAGCGAAAGTCAGACGCTCAACCGACTAAGCCACCCAGGCGCCCCAAGGCATGTTGTGTTTAAAATGTGCTACCCTCAGGGTGCCTGGGTGGCTCAGTCGGTTAAGCTTCCGATTCTTGGTTTCTGCTCAGGTCATGATCTCATGGTTGGAGCCCCACATCAGGCTCTGTGCTGACACCATGGAACATGCTTAGGATTCTGTCTCACCCTCTCTTTCTCTGCCCCTCCCCTGCTCACTCGTTTTCTCTCTCAAAAGAATAAACATTTTTTTAAAAAATGATGTGCTACCCTCACTACAACTATGAAAATCTTCCTTCAAACACCTCTTCTCCAGAACCCCCTCCCATTTCCCCTCCAACCAAAAAGGATTAACCTGGACATTCTCTGCCTTTTGTAGGCAACAAGAGTGTAGTAAAAACAGCTGGCACCTAATGGGCCTTCCTATGTGTTGGCCACTGTCCGAAGCACTTACATGTAGTCACTCCTATAATCCTTGCAGCAACCGTACCATTATTATCGTCATTTTGTTTTTTTTATTTCTTTTGAGAGAGAGGGTATGCGTGTGCGCATGTGTGCACGCTCGCGAGGGGGAGGGGAAGGGGCAGAGAGAGACGAGGGAGAGAATCCCCAGCAGGCTCTGCAGTATCAGCACAGAGTCCAATGCGGGTCTCAGTCTCATGAACCGCGAGATCATGATCTGCGCCAACGAAATCAAGAGTCGGGCACTTCAACGCCTGAGGCCCCCAGGCGGCCCTGTCCTCATTTTAAGGGTGAAGACCTGAGTTATGGATATTGACCAACTTAGCTGAAGTGTCTTGGCTAATAAAACCAACCTTAAGAGTAGCCCCGGACTCAGTCCTATCCAGCTGGCTCCCTCGCTTCTCTGTGTACACGTGATGACATTTCATTCTCACACCCCAGCCCAGGGGGCAGGTGTCCTCATTCTATACATGGCAAAGCCAAAACTCAGAGAGGTGCAGCGAGGGCCCCGGGGTCAGCAGCAGAGCTGGGATGTATGTGAACACTGGGCCAGGGGCTCCTGCCTTTACTGCAGCTCTCCGGGGCCCCACTGAGCATCCACCCTGCTCCCACACCTCCTCAACTCCCTGGGGGTGGGGCTAGCCTTGGCTAACTCAGTCCCCCTCCCCCCCCCCCCCCCCCCCGCTCATCTGTTCCAGGATTGATGGGGATAAGGACGTTTACTGAGCATAATGAAAGGTGGGTGTATGGGAGGGGGAGGCAGAACTGACTTCATGGGCAAGTGACCCACACTGTTAACAGAGCCCTGCACTCACGACCCCCACACTCAGTTTAATGCTCTGCCATCGCCATTTTGAAATTCTTTTAATAA